ACGCGGCCAATTTCTTTGACGCACACAGATACAGATACAAATTTAAATACACAGAGATACGCAGAGCATGCATGCTCGCCCAAGGTGAGATGTAAATGTTGTGCGTGTGTGTGTTGGGCTAAACATGAACCGTTAGCGTTTGAGCCATGATGATGACACGAAGTCAAACAACAACAACAGCAACGACAACAACTACAACAACGACAACAACATGTTGTTGCGCGCTTGACACGTTTAGTTTTGACATTGTCAAGCCAAAGCCAAAGAATATTGGCCACCAGCCAGAGCCCCCCCCCCTCCCCGCATGCCCCGCTAGCCCACGCGTGCAACATTTCGCAATCATAAGCATTTGCGCATGCGCAACACTTTTATTATTAATATTTATATTATTTAATTTATTTATTATTATTATTATTTTGTTGTTTTTATTGCTTGGTTTACTTGAAAGTGCGTCGCACGCTTTGTATTTAACCATCTATTGTTCAGTTGAGCAATAATGCAATATTAATTGGCCATTCGAAATGGATTTTGGATTCGATTCGACTGCATTGGCCATTGCGATTTTTGTTTGGCTGCCAAAGTTAACGGGTTGACATGCGCTAGCTCTCAGCTAATGAGCTAATTAGCTTGCCAGTTATTAACCATTTTCAGTCAGTTGCAGTTGTTTGCCCAGATTTATGACGCGCGACGCCTTGTAAACTTTACGGCAGTCGTTAATACAGTGTGTGCTGGCTAAAGCGAACATCAAAGAAAATACCTAGAGTGTTAACATAAGTTGAAAAGTTAAATCTTATTTACTAACAGTTATTGCTTTATTTCTTAATAGATAAAATTCTGCTGAAAAGCGTTAATTAATTCAATTTTCTTATTCTTATCTGACAAATTATTTTGTTTTGTATATTATTTTTTACCAGTTTATTCCTTGAATTTATTTATTACATCTCCATTTAAGTTCTTTTTTTTATATTTATTACATTATATTATATTATATTATATTTTATTATATTATATTTATTTATTTTACTTTACTTTTTGTAAATGTTCTCTTATCCCAATCATCCTTTAGCTCATATTGCCCCTACAAACTGAGCTGTATTTTGGCAGATGCGGGATAAGCTGGTAATTCCATTTGGCTTAGATTGTATTGCCTCGCTCCTTGGCAATTTCATGGTCTATTCGCCGCATTTGATTGTTAATAACTTTGCAATTTTGTTACTTCTGCCGGGCCAAAAGCATAAGCTGTAAACGAAGCCCGCTAACTAAATGGGGTAAAATCATTTCCGGTTCATATCCGCACACCTTCTTCTAGCGAGAGGTGCGGCTCAGTCGAAAAAGGGCAAACACAGGACCAGTAAATATCCGCATACAGTATATAGTCAGTGTGGCAACTGAGCCATGTCCTGCTGGGCCAAAAGGGGTGGCTCGACTACAAATTGAGGAAAACAAAATACAATGCCAACTAATAAAAAAACATAACATCTAAAAAACAACAACTAATAACAACAACAACAACAACAACAAAGCGCCAGGCCTCTCTTAACTTGGATGACATAATGCCAAGTGGAGTGTGTATCTAAATATGTGTGTGTGCACACACACGTGTGTGCATGTATCCGTGTACACGCTCGAGTGTAGCTGTGTTTGCAGCTGTTGTTGTTGTTGTTGCTGTTGTTGAACACGCTTACTACAGCAGGCGCAGAGCTACTCGTATTTATTTTGCGGCATTTGTGTTTGGATAGAAACCAACAACAAAAATGAAAACGAAAAAAGTAAGCGACAACCCTTGGAAAAGCAACAAAAATGCACGTATCCCATGGATACACGCTGACAAAGAGAGCGCCTTATCAACGGCACGCTTTAACAGGGAGAGTTTGTAAGAGACTAAAGCAGAGAGGAAGAGAGTAAGAGAGCGAGAGCGAGAGAGAGCTAGGAGGCGAGCGAGAGTAAGCGCTTATGGCCGGCTAGCAGCCGGCCTTTTTGCGCCACATTCACATCCGAATATGTGCCTGTCGGGCTGGCTGAATGTATCTGTCAGATACGGAGAGGGCCGCGCGTATCTATGTGTGCGACCGTTGTATCTGTGCCTGTAGCTGTGGCAGTTTCTGTGTTGGCGCGTGACGCAACGTGTGTAGTGAACGCGAATGTTGCCAGCGGCCATTCTTCTTCTTCTTCCACAATCGGCCGCTGCTGCGACTGCGGCTGTCGCAGTCACTGTCACTGCGGCGACTGCCTGTCAAATGCCGTTCCGTCTGCTGTCTGCTTCTTGCCGCTTGCCAGCCACAAGATACAGATACACAGCACTTGGCTCTCAGTGCTCAGTGCTCAGTGCTCAGTGCTCGGTACTCGACGCACTCTTTCGAGCACTCTCTCGCTCTTCCCCTCTCTCTCTCTCTCTCTCGCGCGCGCGTGCTATCTCCCTCTCTCGCTGACGCACCGCATTCACTTATTTCTCTGGGGTTCGCTCGCTCTTCGCCCAATTCGTGTAGCTCAGTTTGCATTTCGCTTTGGGTTGTGTCTTGTCTGGTTCGCTTTTGGGTCAGGCCAGACCAAAAAAAAATTAAATAAAATTAAATAAATGAAAAAATTCGCATTCAATTCACATTCGCGCACAAATTAATTCCTAGGCCTGCCTGCCCAACTGCTGCAACAAAAGTAAATTGCCACAAAATAACAAATATAAATGATAAAAATGATAACATGAGATATATTCAATTACACGTGACAAACAAACAAAAAAAAAATACGTTTTATTAATGTGTGTTACGTTCATCATGTGCTGCGTCCTCGTTGAAATCCTCGTGCCGCGACAAAGTCGCGTGTCTCTCAGAGAAACACGTAATATAAAAACTGTTGTCTGCCCGTTAAATGTGCCAGTTTCCGCCTACAAAAAGTCAGCAGCTTATCTGTGGGCAACGTTTTGTCTAGCCACTCGATAAATGAGCTAATCTATTAGTTAAATATAATATCTATATAATCAGATGCACAGCTACGTAACCAGACCAGCCCCCACTGACGGCGGCACGAGCGTCCTGAACTCAATTAACTTGCCTCCAACCATTCCCGTCCAACTGTCTGTGTTGCCCACTCGGGCCAAGTTAATTGAGTCCAAATACTTTTGTCCAAATCGCTGGCATTGCTCAATGTTGGCCCATTGTCACCTGCCAATAATCAGTTGGCCAGCGTTTTTTGGCCAGCTAATTAATCAACAACGATAACACCACAAACTTCACAACAGCCAGCAACAACAACCACAGCCACAACAAAAACAACAACAAAAACAACAACAAAAACTAGCACATCCGCAGCCAAAGTGCACGTTTCGTGGGCAAGTGTGTGGCATTGGAAGATATGACATAATTCCAAGACATTCACTTGCCACACAAAAAAAATTCATATATACATATGTATATTATATATATATATATATATTTATAAAGAAGAAGGCACCCAAAGAGCGCACGCTCCCACTCGAAGAGCGCTGCCCGCCGAAGAGTACATCAGGTGCGCGTGGCGACCAATGATCCGAATCGGAATCCGAGTCGGAGTCCAAAAACCCCAAAACGAACAATGTCTGTCTACCCCATCCCCAACCCCAACCCCAACCCCAACCCCACCCAACGCACACACAATCAAAATCATCTTGGCATTGCGCTTGCTGCGTTAAATTTAATCTGTCTAGCGGAAATGTGTCTGATACACCAACAAACACCCTCCCCTCCCCCCTTCCCCCTCCACACACCTCCAGAAACCCTTTCGAATAACGCCCACCCATAACCTAATTGAAATGCATACCGGCAGTGCCCGTTTCTATATGACATATATGCATGTGTGTTTGACTGTGGCTTCAAATATATTTGAATATTCGCGGGGGTTTGTATTATTACAAAATTGCATTCTGCGATGGCGACCCAATAAATAACACACACACACACATATATATATATATATATATACATACATATACACATGTATATATATGCATAATAGATAAGCAATAACAAATTAGATGATTGCGACAAAGGGCGGCGCGCGTCTTAATTTCCATTTCGTCAAGTTTACCTGTTAACCGTTGCGGCTTTCGTTGTTGTTGTTGTTGTTGCAGTTGCTGTGGCTGTTGTTTGGCGACACACATCGCCGCTTTGACCATGAATTCGATTTAATGCAAAAGTCCCAAAAACGTGAATTTATTTTCGGGCGAAAGGAAAACAAAAAGCCGAAGCCTATAAAAAAAAACCCAAAGACATGCGCGTGTGTATGTGTTCGTGCTTGTGTATGTGTGAAATGCCGTAATAATTAATTGATCGACAAGTGCGCAGCTTTGGTTTTTTTTCTTTTTTTTTTGTATACGGCGCGTTCGCAAAGCTGCGACTGCGCGCTGCGCGTCGCGTTGCCGAAATCGAATTCGATATCTACGAACAGCCGCTGTTGACGGCACCAGCATGTTGTTGTTATTGTTATTGCTTTTTGGGGGGCCCTTGCAACATCGAACCGAAGCCAAGTCAAGCTGAGCCAAGCAGTGCTTGAGCTTGCGACAGCGCTGCTCGCGTCGCTGCCAGCGTATTCACCTGTTGTTGTTATTGTTGTCTGCAGCTCTTGGGCGCGCCAATGCATTGCAATTTACATTTCTATGAAGCTCATTTTAATGATCTAAATAAATTTCGAACATTAGCACAAAAGACAGACCCCAAAAATGAGAAATAAAAAAAATCACCTACACATACATTTATACATATATGTATATAGACGCATATCGCACCATACTGCATTAAATATCAAAGTTTATAAGTTCGTAATCAACGGCAGCGGCAACGCTGGCGGCGCCGCAAGCTCAGCTCTTGCGCGCTCAATTTCGCGACTGCGACTGCGACCGCGACGGTGACGCTGACAGCGACAGCGGCCGCAGCAGCGACGATGTCGACTTTAACGGCGTCTTCGGCCTTAGTTAGTCAGCCGTTGCGGCAGCCAGTTAGTCGTGCTTTGCTAGTCGCTGTCTGCGGTTTTGCCTCTCTCGGTTTCTCGGTCACCTCGTCTTGTCTCGCCTCGTCATTGTCCCCGTCACCGTCCCAGTCACCGACGCCCCGAGTCTTGTGCCTAGCGTCGCGTCGCCTGCGACAGCCGTGTTTAGCTACTGAATTGCATTCAAAGTGTATTTGTTAAGTGCTCGGAAGGACACGCGCTTTTCGCTGCCAATTCGGCGAACTTGGCCACACTGAAACAAGACACACACACACACGCGCGCAACTAAGTAATATATGCTTGTATATTTACATATGTATACACATAACGGTTGCCAAAGTGTGATAAGCGAACGCTGAGAGCGAAGAGTGCGCGCCCGCCACAAGTAAATGGTGAATTTAATGGCCTTCATCGATTGCCAGGCAAATGCCAGCTGCTGCAGCAACAATTTCAATAATTGATAACAATTCTACAATAACAACAAATGCAGCAACAGCAACCGCAACAGCAACAGCGACGGCAGCAACAACAGCACGCACGCATATCCTTAATGCAAGCGATATAACTGATATAACTGATATTACGATATAACCACAACCGACGCACACTTATAATTATAATCAATCAAATCGAATCTGAACTAAATTCAACTGGTTTTCCTCCCAATTTCGATAGCCACTGGCAAACTGTTCACGTTTCTACTCGCATACATGCTTGCATATATTAAATAGTTATTAAACAAATTTTCAACAAAATCGAGCAAAGACAATACACAGGAAAAATACTGCAACGCACGCTACTAGGAAAACAAGGTAAATTGGGGCTAAAAATAATAAACAAAACTTGTGTTTTGCAAAGACAAACATTGACTAAATAAAATATTTAAAAAAAAGGGGTCAAATGTTGAAAATCAAATTAAATATGCATTTAAAAAAGGAATTTCGTGAGATAAACGAACTTCAGGTTAGCTTAAATTTATCAAATTTTTGAATGGAAAAATGTCTGAAATAAGACAATTGAGCTAAATTATTCATATAATTTCTCTTGAAATAATTACAGAATTTCGCAAATATTAATTTGTATTAATCAAAAGTTCCTTTAATTGTTTTGGTACACAACACTTTCCAATTCTACCTGACTTCGACTTTCCTGGAACCCTTTAGAACACATATATGAATATTTCATTACGTGGATTACATCATCGTCCAAGTGATAAATGACAACAAAAAAAAAAAAACAATTGTCCACATTGTCCACAATTTAAGCCCAGTCAAGCATATACTAGCAAGTCAGTTTTTAATTCATATTTCGTGATTGTTTTTGTTGAATTGAAAATACACACGCTCGCTATATTTGACTTGATTCGATCGTATGCAAATTAATGTATATTTTCGCATCAGAATGTTTAACGATAATCTACGCTAATTTAACACAATTTTCGATAATTTATTTTAGAGTTTAACGGGACCTATATCTTTATATAGTTAATGACTCGCGCAGCAGTCGATGAACTATAGTTGATTCCTATTTATAATATTTAATTTATGCTTCATGTTTACCCATTAAAAACTAAGACAAGGGGTATTTTAAAGTTGTGCAAATTTGTAAAGTGAAAAGTCTACTAAGCAGAACGGTCCATCTACCTAAAGATCTGGACAGATTAGAGACTCGGAATTTGGCATGTAGGCGGAGTTTCTTTATTTAGGCCGAATCTTAAACACATATGCTTTATATGAGGCATAAATTTACTGATGTAAAACGCGATATAAAGCTATTCGGAAATACCCAAAAACGGTGGCCTAATATAAATAAATTAAAAAAATAAAAGGTTACCAAAGAAACTTACATTTTAGCATACTCTTCATCCTGCTTAGAGGGTAGCTCTTAGTTGTGTGCTCTTGGCAACAAGAGTCTCGCTACGATTTAAACAAATTTCGAATTCCAATCAATTTTTAACCAGTTTTGTTGGCCGCTCCGATGTGAAAGGCATTCCATTGTTGTATTTTTTATGATTATTGTCGGTTGTCATCGGCCTGGTCTACAAATGTCGCAATAAATAGAAATTAAATTAATTGGAATAAATCTCAGCTAAGTATCTGGGCCGAAATGTATGGGCAATTTAAGCGTATCACATAAGCCTTCGTCTAATTGCCGTTTAGATGCCCTTTGTAGAAGATACAGCTAATATGTATCTCATGGATACACGTGCCAGTTGTCAGGGCTATCTGGAAAGATGTTTAGATGCTCATTTAATTACCATTCAAAATCCATTTCAGCCGCTTGTCGGCTGCTTGTCATGTGCGCTGCCATTTCGCAGCAAAACACTCTAGATAATTGCAATTGTAGGCCAAACAGCCGAACAACCTTTGACTGAGCCCATTCATTGACCCGGCCCGTCGAGCACTGTCAACACTTGGCAACTACCAAGCTGTTGCCATACAAAAATCAATGGGAAATTGAAAACGCGAGCCAACCACCCCCTACTGAGAACGCCCCCCAATAATGCCTGGCTCAAAACGCACGTGACACCTTTTGCTGGGCGAGAATTGAGGCGAGGCCCAGCTCCTCACTCACACTCCCACTCACACACATACACTTAAACAGTGCGCACTCACTGACATAATGCGAGCAGCCACAACAAAAACTGAAACTACAACAACAATTACGACGAGCCACGCGTCTTTTAGGCGTCATTCATGGCGTGTTGGTTGCACATTAAACGCGCTTTCATCAAGCGCGTTTTGTTTTAGCCTTTTTTCCCATTTGCTGGCAGGGCTGGCAGCAAATGCCCAACACTGTGTTTGCACAGTGCTGTCAGCTTATAAAAAGCAAAAAAAGCTAACTCCAGCAGGCAGAAAATAACTTAATTTTACTTTAAAAAATACCAATAAATATGTTTGCAATTGGTATATCGAAATTATTTTTGGTTTTTTGCATTCGCCTTATATTAATCAGATATATTTGTCTGGCAGTTAATAACTAAACGTACGGGCCATTTGCCATCTTTGAATTTAACTTATTTTATCGAAGTTTATGTTCAGACAAGACTTGACAAGTACTCTGCATTATATATAATTATATAGCATGGAATTTTTTTAGAAACTAGAAGAGAATTGAAAAGAATTAAAAAAATTTTAAGCTAGAATTCCCGCTGCGTGCAAACGCTCTTCGAAAAACGGCCAGACTTGGCGGGGGGTGGGGGGAAAAAGCTCAGCTGGCAACACTGAGTGTGAGTCACATCAACACGGATCCAGGCGCGCTCTCATTACCCGATTTTCATTCAAGAAATTCGCTGCGCGGCTCTGCGCAAAAGCGGCCCAAAATAAAAGAGACCAAAGAGAAACCCTAGCAAGCCGCTGGGCTGAGGGCGCAGGCTTTCATTGGAGCAGAAGTGCGGCGGGGGAGGGGGTTGGCCGTGGCTGTTACAGCAGAGAGTCGTCATCACGTGATTGTGTGTGCGTGTATGTGTGTGCGTGTGTGTGTGTTTGTGACAACGTGGCGCCGGTTAAGCGGCATGTTGCTGTCTGAATTCGGCGCCCTGGAAACTGAATTCGTTGCGGGCTCGGCTTCTGTTTTGCTTTAGGGTTCGCTTTTGCTTGTTTTTTTTTATGCTTTCTGTTTTTTGTTTTTTTTTTGGGGTGTCGCTTTACATGCTCGTATGCATTGTTGCTTCATGCTTTGGCTCTTGTGTGGGCTTACATGGAGCACACAGCAACAACAGCAACAACAGCAACAACAGCAACAACAGCAACAACAACAACAGCAACAACAACAAGCGTGCTGTAAAATCAGGTCAATGAAATAGCAATATTTGGCACGGCTTTAAAGCGTCGCTGGCATCGCGTTTCGCTGCCTCTTCTTCTGGCCGTGCGAAGGTGAATCTGAGCCGCAGTGGGTCGCCTCCTATTTGTGGTGTCATTCGCTGCGCTTTCAAATTGCCACCCACTCGCACCAAAAGCCCAAAGACAAAGACTTACGTCTATAACTGTTGTTGTTTTTTATTTAGCCCGATTGACAGCATTTTCCGCTTGCGCGCCTTCAGCTGTGTTTGCTTTGTTGTGGCTTAGTTTGCATCTATTATCAACTTTCGTCCTTTGACTTTGAATTTATTTGCATTCAGCTGGCAATGGCTTACTTTCTGTTTGCTGTCAACTGTGTGTTGTGTGTAGACGGGGCCTCTTTGCACCTGCACTTCGGTAATTGTCTTCGAGGCATTTGCACGCCAATAGAAACTGCAATCAGAACTTTACATACTCTTGCAATCCTTTTGGGATTCTGAGAAAGATCCTGTCAAGATCGTCATCACACATCACATGCATTCAGTCAGGCTTTGATGCGAACCTTATTGCATTTTTGTGCTATCTCAAGCTTTGGTGAATAGTTTAGCTCCGGGTTCGAACCGGTTAGATGCAGCCTTGATCCATGAGTGTGTTACCAAAGTCCAATATATTATTCAAAGCCATCATTGCGAAAATGTGCCGTGTAATAATGATTTCTCATGTAAATTTCCCAATATTCGAGTGTGTCATACTAAATGAACGCTGCGGGCTGCAGCTATTAACGTAAAATACATTTACAATATTGTAATTTAACGTTAGGCTTGACTTATCAATAAATTGCTGAGCTATACGTTTTATTGTTGCGATGTGTGTATTCTTAACTGCCCAAATACAATTATTGCCAGCCACTAATTAAATATATTATAGATACATATATAATAAAAATAAATACATATATATTTATTTTTTGCTGTGGCCCATTTGTGCAACCTCAGTCCGCAGTCTCTGCAGCAATGAGGTAATTAGACAAGCGAGACTCCTTTCAGCGCATATTATTTCATTTTTTTTCAGCAGCACGCGGCGTATGAGTAATGCCTGACCATGTTTACGTACATGAATGCGTATGTGTATGTGTGTGTGTTTATTTGTATGTGTGTGTCTGCGTGTGTGTAAGTGACGTCAACAATTGCTATTCACTTGGGTCTAGATATTTATTTATGCAGAGGCCTGTCGATTGAGCTAACATGGCTATATAAAGTGCGGCATTTTGTTTGGGCCACATTTGTAAATTGCTATGCGAAGTGCGTCTGCCATAAGCGACAAGTGGCAGTACGCAAGAGGGGAACGGGGGTGCATCTGGTGCAGGGGGCGGCAACAATGAGAACGCGCTGTCAGCAGCTGCGGCTGTTGCACTTTTCATTTGCCAACAAAAATTTGTGTATTTTGCGCCCGCTGCAAAGAGTTGCCTCGTGCCGCATGCACACGTGTATGTGTGTGTGAGTGTGTTTGTTGTGTGTCTGTGTGTGTTTGTTTGTGTATGAGTGAGAGATATTTGCTTGGTCTGTTTGTTAGTCTATCCTTGAACTTTGATTGCACTTTTGCCCACAATTCCTATAATATTTACTTACTTTGCGCCTAAGCAATATTTGTACAGTGAAAGCTTCCTTTAGTGAACTTTTTTAGACGGTTAAGTCTAATATTTTTCCCACATTTTTTGAGCAACGTTTAATTTTTTTAGCGTACGCTCTTTTTTAGAACACAAATACAAATAAAGCTAATTCACAATTTACAGAATAAATATATGAATATTTGTTTTAATTTTGTTATGTCAGCAAAACAAATTGAAATATTCACTATAAAAATATAATATAATAATAATCATAATAATTTGCATATTATTTTCTAAAAGTTATATACGCAATATTAATTTAACAATTTGTCGATATTCACTTTTAAGCATAGGAATATCTGAAAATGCTCGTGTTGTCCATTTCCTCTGATATATCCGATAAACATGTGTATATATACATACATATCTGTCTAGCAGGCTAAGAACTTTAGTTTAGCCTTTAAGCTGGGTGTGCGCTTAGGAATGTTTTCAGCATATTTGAAATAAATATTACTCATACGCCGCCTTGTACGTTTACGTTTGTACGTCTGCATGTTTCGTGGCCGCAGCACAAAATTAATATCGATTTGAGCTTATCTGTATTGATATGCGCTTGATTAGGTGCGATATCGTATCTTCTGCCTGGGCTCAAAGTCTGCGCTTATCGACGGAGCCAGAACCAGAACTAGAACCAGCAGCTCGAAGCCGAAGGCGAAGCCGAAAACGAGAACATCAAATTATAAACAACATGTAAATATGCCGCTCGAATGCTGACTGGCAATTTTATATGTGTGTGTTATTTTTTGGTTTCTTTGGATTTTAGTTTATTAACCTCATTTTATTGCTGTTGCCGCCGGCTTGCTGTTCAGCTGGGCTTTTTTTCTCAACACATATGCAGGTGTGAGAGAGAGTGTGTTTGTGTGTGTTTTATATGCATAAATGTATTTAGTTTCTTTTACATTTATCTGCATACTGATAAATGTCCAATCGCAATAATTATTGGGTTGAAAGGCGGCCGCTGGGTTTTAGTGTTTTATTTGCTTCACTGTTTAAATGACAAAATGAAAAAAAAACTGTTAAAATATAGTTTATGGGTATATACATACATATATATTTTACATAATTGTAATTTTCTTTTTTGATTTTCTCATTGCAGCTCGACACCTTTTGCATTGCACTAGATGCATTAAACTACTGAGCAGCTCGGAACGAACCACCAATAAAAACAAAAACAACATCTACACACACACACACACACAAACACAAACACACACAGCAACAAAATGGCCTTAATTATGAAATACATCGAGAGCATAAACAGATATATGGACTCACATAGTGGTAAGTTGGCATGTGCGTTGCGACTAACACTTACATACCTCTCTCTATATATACATATCTATATCTATATATCTATATATATATACATATGCTTAGGCCTGCTAATTTGTGTAACCTTGATTGTTGTTGTTGTTGATGTTGTTGGCCTGGCTGTCGCTCTTCCTTCTCACATTTCTCTGCAAAACGGCAAAGGTTTAACAAATGATTGAGTAATTTTTGACACCAGCTCACTAATTGCTCGGACAGAAGAGAGCGCGAGAGATTCAAACAGCTCTTGGTTTGGGCCAACAAATAATTAACTGATAATGAGAAATTTCAATGTCAGTAAACGTCTTGGCCAAAACCAAATACAGTAGACAGTTGCTCTCTTCAAATTTATCCTTTATCAATCTATGCATATCTAGAGATATATCTATATATATGTATAGGTATATATTCTGTATTTGCTGAATACATTATACCACATATGGACCCCCAACCCCTCCCCCAAGCCATTTTTGAGAAATGTTTAGCAATTTGAATGCGCTAAAATTATGTTTCAACATGACATAGATACGACTACGTATACCCATACGATTTTAGATATGCATACTTATATATAGCTGCCATAGCTGCTAGTTGTCTGTTGCCTGTGCGTGTCGGCAGTCTCTTTGTGTGTGTGTGTGCGTGTTTGTATTATGGTTATTTTAAGGGCGCACGTGTAATATGACTTATTTGTGCGATATCGGAAGTAAAACAGCCATCAAATGCCGCCACTCTGCAAGCCACAAATCCAACAAGACAGGCATATATTATAGTACAGCATTTCTACAAAATATGGCTTGCAGGCAATCGAAAAGTTGGTAGTCAGAAATAATTATTATTTTAAATAAGAGAAAGAATTGTGTTGCGGAAGATAAACAAGATACCCTTGCAGATATATAATAGTTTTCGCATATACGTACTTATATCTAAACTTGGCCGCACAACATAAGTTCCGGTAGCTTGTTGCTATACCAAGTACAAATGTGGAAGATGTGATTGAGCAATGTTTTATATAATTGGCTTGTATGTTATTATAATTACTTAAAAATACAAGTATTTGTCATCAATAGCTTTCATGCGAGTTATATGATGTAGTAAATGATGTTAAAAAGTCAGCTTATAACCAATTTTTCCTTTATCATCTATGCTTTATTATACATAGGTGAAATCAAAGAGACGTAACTATAACAAGTTTAGCTGGCATAAAAGATGTAAACTATATGAATAGGTTACACAATCATAAAAATACCTTGGCTCTGTATCTCTTGGTATATTTTAGTATGAATATACGACGATGAAAAAGATTACATGCGGTTGATCTTCCACATAAGGTCATAAAGTAAGCCAAAGTAATCAAACTTTAATATAATATTAATTGTTTGCGTTCATTGGAGCTCAGACAATGCTAATAAGTTTTATTGTATCTTACATTTATTTCTAAGTAATTTGTTGAAAAAAACAAACATGATAATTGCTTAGATTTTAAAGTAAGATACAATGAAAATTAATAGAATTGTTTGAGCTCCAATACATTTATATATGAATATATATATGAATCATTTATTGGGTGATCTGAGATATATTTTCCTATGCTTAACGCATGTTGAGACCAAATTGAATGCAAAATGTAGCAATTGAAATACTCTTTCTAAAAGACATTACCCAAGTTCCTATCAAAAGAGTATATTACCTATAAATCGTACCCAAAATCAATGCATTCTGGCACTTTTATATGAACTCTCGAGACTTTATTGCCAGACACAGTCGCAACTTGACAGCAAAAGCAAATCGAATACATTTTTAATCTAAAACTTAAAACCAAACACATGTAGTTTATAGTTTGACACTTTGAAGAGCCCTCAAATGTTTTACGACTCGAGATTGGTTTGGGCCCAGATTGCGATTGGCCAATGTGATAACCAGACCAGTTAGTCCTAAGTTTCGCAATCCATTTATATATTTCGGCAACAATTTCACTTGGCACATAGCTCTTCAATCAAGTTGGAAATCTTAATTAATATTCGTTTATTAATTTTTTATTTGGACTTTTTCTTTACGGTTTGTTAATCTATTCATCAAGCTGCGTCAGTTGTGCGCTGCTCATCAATTTTTGATACTTTTATTATCTAGCCTTTGATTGTTTTTCCGCTATTTTTTTTTTTTTCTTTTCTTTCAATATTGAAATATTTGCCAACGCATATGTTTAATTATTATTGATTTATTTATTTTGCTTTTTCTGTTGAGTTTTTGCTTGGGCAATCGAAATTCGCGTGATTATTCGTCTGGTTGCATAAGTTATTCATGAGTTAAACACCCAGCTAAATTTACGCATTTTTATGACAATTATCGCTGAACTGAATGCCAAATGAAGCGAATGAAGAAATTCCAAAGCCGAAAAGATATATGTTTATTCATATATATATATATATATATATATATAGGCTAAGCATTTAAATAGTTGGACTTAAAATGTAATTGTTATGCAGTCCATTAAACAGGATGAGCTGCACGTCTCATCACCATCATCATCAGCATTCTCAGTATCATTACCATTATCATTATCATTAGCGTAGCTAATGATCGCCTTGGTGACATTGTCTCAAACATGAACGTGCGACAAATGAGGGCCAATGCCCAATGCTAATGATGTACAGATGATAAGAGCAATGTCGACGCTTGCTTTGTTATCTAACTGATATACTATGTATAGTATATGTGCGTAGTTAGTAAACATATTAAAGCAACAACATCAACAACAACAACATAAACAATGCTTCAGTATTCGAACTTATTCCCTGTTCTTTGTTTTGATGCGTGTAACTTGGTTAGTCATTAATCGAACCAGGTTTGGCTTTTGGTTCGGGTCTAGTTTTCACTAATACATTATTTATATATATAATATAGTTTTGTAACTCTTGCCCCATTTCTAATTGCACAGATTCAAGGACAAAGGACTGGCCCATGATGTCATCACCCTTCCCCACACTCGCCGTGTGCCTCACATACGTCTACCTGGTCAAGGTAAGTCGACATCGGGGTGGCAACATTTGTCGCCCACTCTGCCGAACACGTGTTTCTTTTATGGCATCTCGATTTGACCATATGGTTAGCCGCTTAATACACAGATTTAGGTCATATCAACAAGACCAGCTGCGTCTACGTCGTAATCTCAAGTGCTATTCCCATGCGGAAAACGCACTACGTGGGCGTATCCACTGATAGCGTCTACGGTTTTTTGTTTTTTTTTGTTTTGGGGTTGAGCAAGCTTTATTTATGGCCTACTCACACATATGAATTTCTAATCATAAGGCGTTTTTATAATAGACCAACCTAATCAGAGCGTTGATAAGAAACACAGACAGCACAGTGAGTCAAGAGTGAAAAAATTCCAGGAGTATTATTCAACGATAAATTAGGACTTAAGTTTGTGGAAATTATTTTAAAAAAGGGCAGAAAAAAAGCAGCCGCCAGAGAAATGCGTAGTAACTACTTAGAGAAGCATCGATTCAATTGGAGAAGTTAATGCTAAATTCCTTATACGACAAACGAGGCCCAAAAATAATTATGGAAAAACAGGGTTTTTACGATGTCCATAATTATTTTTGAGAGTATATATTTACATATAGATATTCAAAGCGTGGAAAACAGAGTATTTAAATAAACAGACAGAGGATGTCACGCTTTGAATGAGATCCCATAAAGTATAAATATAAATAGTATAAATTTAAAAAGTTCTTCAAACTATCTTGCCTAAAACTTCTAGCAGTACATATGTCGGACTAGGTCCAAAAGGAATGTGGGCATATATCTTATATATTACTAGGAATATCCTTACTCTGCTCCTATACAATGTTCAAGCAAGGTCCTGTCCATAACGAACCACTAAATCTTAAAGCTCCTATGAAAACAATTGGTCAAGAATTAATTTCTTGGTAAAAAACATCTTTCTTCTTCATCTTAAATATCCAAACCATTTGCAGCAAAGAGCTATATAGAAATTGAGTTTTTGTTTGAAAAAAAAGAACACCTTAGTGTGCTTAGTAAGGAAATAAATGTCTGAAAGAGTATTTCATCTTCGGCGTCGCCGAAGTCAACTGATTTTCTTGCTCATCTCTATGACATAATCATTAAGCGGCATTCTCTTTTTATGTAACAGGTGCTTGGGCCGCGATTAATGGAGAATCGAAAGCCGTTACATCTACAGAACATGCTGGTCATCTATAATGCGTTACAGGTTGTATTTAGCGCGTGGCTCTTCTATGAGGTAAGTGAAACTCACACCAACCCAAATAACACCACCACCATCAACAACAACAACAACAACAACAAGAAAAAGAACAAGAACAACACCAACCACAATATCCATCAACAACAACAACAACAACAACAACAACATCGCTGGCGTCGTCGTTTTGGCTGCTTGCTTAACTGACCTGGAAAAGCGTTTAAAGACAAACAACTTGCTGGAACTGCCAACTGCAACTGCAACTGCCAACTTCTACTGCCAACTGCTACTGCCAACTGCAACTGCCAATTGCTACTGCCAACTGGCAACTGGCAACTGGCTGCTGCTGCTTTTAATGTGCACTTTATTTTATGTTTTTCTTACGTTCTCTCTATCTCATTTTCTTTGGCATTAATCTGATTTCGTTTTTAGTGTTTAATGGGCGGCTGGTGGGGTTCGTACAGCTTCCGCTGTCAGCCTGTGGACTATAGCGATAGTGCCACATCTAGGAGAGTAAGTGTCTCGTCTTTAAATGCCAATAAAACCTATTTGACTGTGTGCAGCAGGAACGCGCTTAGCTCTTGAAAAGTGAAAATGAAGGCCTAGGGAAATTCTCGCCCATTTAGCAGACCCTGATTCATAGATTCTACTCAAAGAACGCAGTTATGCGCATACAACTAGGCAGTCATATGAATATATATGTACATATATTTATATGTATATATTTCTTGGAATTAATATTTTAGTTAATATACATATATGCAAACGCTTGAGGAACAGCCGTATAAATATTTAAGATTAACCAGCATTGCTTTACATGATTTTCAATATGTATATTATTTTGTTTTCCATTTTTATTTTTGTAACCATTTTTAGCATTTTATTATTTAATACAAAATACTACACGAGGCGAGCAAATGTGTAGCTGGTTTCTAATTAGACATAGAACTGCCTTAAATATCGCTAAAGATATATATTAAATATATATATTCTATATACATCACTTGTTTTGTATATAAATGCTAGCAACAATTGGTAAAAATCAAAAAACACAAAACATATCGCTTTAAACAATTTGATGCTTTATTAATTAATACCACTTAAACGCTGTCTACTAACCCAGCCAAAATTTATATGTGCGTGTGTGTGTCTGTATGTGTGTGTCTGTGTGTGTGCAGTTGGTAAATATCAAGTAAATATCAATGTGTGTCTGTATGTGTGCCTGTATGTGTGTGTCTGCCATGCCTAATTCTTTACAGCCCACGAACTGGAAGCAGCTGAAACCGAACGCCAACGCAAACCGATGCCAGCCAAAAACTCAAAACTCAAAACTCAAAACAAAAACGAAAAAACAATAAAATAAATCATTTCACAACTCACGCAACAAAATCGAATTCAATATCAAAATCAGAATCAAAAACCAAAATTCGATAAATAAAAGACAAAACAAACACACACATTTTACACACTCTACATTTGCAGATAGGAGTTTCCGGTTGGCTAACTGGACATTATAGCTTCCGATGTCAGCCAGTTGACTATAGTAATAATCCTAGAACGTTAAGGGTATGTGTTAAACTGACAACGAGCCGTTAAATAACGATATTGATTAGCCTCTACTGATAACGATAAGCTATTGATAACGAATAACGAAATGCGTGCTTCCTATTGGTGCTGTGCTGGTGTGTGTGCGCGCGCGTGTGCTTTTGTACCTGAATATTGGTTCTGGGCTTATTATATAATGTACAAATAAATACCTCGATACTTACCCTACACACAATTATCTTACATACACATGTACTCAATCCGGGCTAACAGTTGTGGCTTCCACAAGAGTTAAGGTAGCACCTATCTGTACATTCATACACATAAGCAATAACTATATACTACATAAGTACAACTAACCCCCCCCCCCCCACCACAACAAAAAAAAAAACAGATCCTAACCCAGATCGAAGCATGTGTGTATGTATGCCGTGCATAACTGTCAGCATATAAATGTTCTCAAAATGTCACTAATCTAAAAAAATGATACAAGTCTCGTATCTCGCATCGTTATCTCTTACAGAATATAGAAAAGTCTGGGGCCCCTTTCCCGCCCAACATTCGACACCCCTACCCATCCAAGTGGGAACTGTAAACAACTCTCTTTTTTTACCCCGGAATATGCATTAAACTCTACTTTAAATGGCCAGGACTATGATATTTCAAATTTCAAAACCGTTAATCAATTAATTGAATGTGTTACCCGATTCTACTATACTATATCTTCTTGAACTATCTGCTGCATTTTGAAAAATAATATACTTCTACCTAAAGTTATGATTGAACTGGAACCGAAGCGTGTGCATGAATGTTTCAATTGAATTGAATTACAAAATTAATTTGATCATGATTTAATAATAATAAAAAAATTAAATTGACTCCACAAATTGAGTGTGCGAATGAAACAGAGGCGACGGCAGCGCCGAGCTTGATGTATACCCTAATTGACGGCACGAATATCGAATACGAAAACCGATCTCAAATGCTGATAAGCTCAAATGCTGCTCAGTTAGGGTATCCAGAAGTGTGTGTGTGTGTGTGTGTGCCGAACATTTGTTTGCCATCTTCAAAAACAAGCCGAGCTAATCGAATATTTAATCTCTTCTCCGCGCTGCTGCCTACCCACTCATCCAAATCAGATGGTTCACGCGTGCTGGTGGTATTATTTCTCGAAGTTCACAGAGTTCATGGATACGGTAAGTGTGACCATATTTGTTAGTTAGTTTCTTAAACCCACACACGCGATACCCTTACAGATTTTCTTCGTGCTGCGCAAGAAGACGAGCCAGGTGACGACACTGCATGTCATACATCACGGCTGCATGCCCATGTCCGTGTGGTTCGGTGTCAAATTCACTCCAGGTGCGTTAACCAGCCGCGGCTAAACGACCGTCAGATACCCTATAATATGTCTATGTCTGCATTTAGGTGGCCACAGCACCTTCTTCGGCCTGCTCAATACCTTCGTGCACATTGTGATGTACACGTACTACATGTTCTCGGCCATGGGTCCACAATACCAAAAGTACCTCTGGTGGAAGAAGTACCTGACAACGCTCCAAATGGTAAGCTCCCAATACACTATGCTCCAAAACAGAAACGATAACTAAAAGACCCGATATTGAGATACAGAGAAACTGACATACAATCAAATATTTATTATAATTTCTAGATAGTCTCAGTGTACATATTAGACTATATCTTAGCATATTTTCACAATTTATATTTAACTACAGTTTGGTTTATATTCTTAATTTAAATTATGAAGATTCGAAAAGATTATTACTTCAAGTAATTTATTAAATTAAGACTTTTCCTTCAATACATATTGATCTGGCTGAGTTATAGTTAGGTTTTAGCGATTCAGTCAAAGTTTAAATAAACACAAAGAAACCCAAAAAATGAAACTTTTGGAAATTATTTAGGTTCGTTTTCGTTCTTAGAGCGTCATCTCTAGCTCCATTTTGTATTTTTTGTTTATAATGTGCTTGATTAATTTTATTAAATTATATTTTATCTGATTAATCACCGGCTCTTCCCACGGCTACAGGTTCAGTTCATTCTCATCATGGTGCACGCCTTCCAATTGCTCTTCATTGACTGCAATTACCCGAAGGCCTTCGTCTGGTGGATCGGAATGCACGCTGTGATGTTCTTTTTCCTGTTCAATGAGTTCTACAAGGCAGCCTACAAAAACCGTCTAATGGTAAGTGCCCCAGTGCCCCAGTGCCCCAAAGCCAAGCTCCAAAAAAACACACACACACACACACACACACACAAAAACCTTTTCTAAAATGCCGCAAGTCCGGAAATGAGACAATTTTTGAGGTGCAACCGCATCTCAAGTCGCCTATTATGATAATTATCAACCATTTGAAAGAAATGAAAAAAAAAACTCGGGCCTAGTCCGTGGCTTCCCACGTTGGCTCAAAGCCATTTAAAGCCATGAAATGACAAACATAAAATGCGTTCGCATCCCAGATTCCGGATTGTGAGTTAATGAAAACGAAAACCGAGCGAAGTCTTATATCATAAGCATGTGTGTCCATGGTTACGGCCGATGTCTGCACCTGCCAGATAGACTCGGTGGATGGGAAGGGGAGGGGGCAAAGGTGGGCTGCCTATTGCAAACATATAACTGTGGTCTAAATTCATTAACGAAATTTCGTCAAGTGAGTCTCGGGGAATTGGTTTTACGAAGTCCGCTTTGTCCGACACAAAAGCGCCAAAATGACGTCGTTTAATGATCGTTCACGTTCATGAGGCCAACATCGACGTCGACCGCGACTGCGACTGAGACGGCGACGGCGACGGAGGCGACCCACAGCATCCATTGAGCGGTACGCAAGTGAAAGTTGAATGGAAAAGAGGCGAAATACAAATGAAAAGGCAAAAAAGAAAACAAAAATAAATAAAAATAAAAATAATAAACAAACGCTGACAAGGCATCTCAGCTGATTGCATAATGTGCGTTTCTTGCTTTTTGTGGGGCGCACACACACACACACACACACACACATACACGCATATATAATAAATGTACAAAAAATGCGAACGCGTGTCGCATGCGCAATATATCTCATACGCCCCGATTGCCGACTAAACTAAACCTCCTTTTCACATACATTCGCAGAAGAAGAATGCGCTGCTGGCCAACGGACACGCCAAGCCGAATGGCTACTGCAAGAGCATCAATGCCCACGACGATCTGTTCCTGCCACAGCCCGCGGCCCAGACGACGCCGGCGTCGACGGCCAAGGCCAATGGCAATGCGACGCTCAGCAACGGCCATGCGAATGGCCTGAAGAACGGCTACATGCCGCTGCCCAATGGCAATGCGGCGGCCGTGGCCAATGGCAGTGCGCACAAAACGAACGGTATCCTGCTGGCAACTGGCTTTGGCAATGGCAGCGGTGGCTATGCCACCAAGCTGCTGGACGATGTGGCACAGGAGCTGACGCACCGGAAGACACAAAAATAATATCGGGATAATGCGGGTCGGCGCCAACATAAAGCTTAGGATGGTAGCAGAAAGCACAGCAAGCGCCAGGAGCACCACCATATGCTCCAACAGTCATAAGCACACACACACACACACCCACACACACACCCACACACCTACACATACACACATTCAACAAACACCATTCATGTACATCCACATAAGCATATATATATATACATACATGTTTTGGATATTTTATTGACATTGAAATAACTTTTAGTTAGAATGGAAGAGAAACAATAAGGGGCATATTGTTATTGGTACTAATTATTATTACAGAAATTAATAATAATAATAATGCATAATAATGATGCTTGTTTTTACAGCGAGCCAAGTATGTATGTATGTATATAGCGTATGTGCGCATGTATGTAGCATTCATATAAATAAAATACATTTTTGTTGCTTTTTTCTCTTTTTAACTACTTTAGTTGTACAAAGCTTTGTATAGAAAAAAACAAAAACAAAAACAAAAAATCAAAAAAACAATACAATTTATAAATTGAGCCTAATGCTTATTTAACTGAATTGTGTGTGAGCATGGAATTAATCTATGTATTTAAGCATAGAATTTAATTTATATACATACTTATATATATATATATATCTACTTATACACAAATAAATAAAGTAAATGGAAAAAATTAAGTTGGTTCTGCGTAAGTCAAACAAGTTTTGTAAATGTATAAAGCAAAAAATATATTAAAATAAAATGTATGTAATTTAATATTAGTCGCAATAATTGTTGAGGAATTTAAACAAAGTCAAGCAAAATGAAAAAAGAATAAAACAGTCACAGCTATTTAAGTCAAGCCACAAATACTACAAATACCAACAAATTTGTGCTTCGTTTTAATCATAAACGACCACAAATAAAAACATAACAAAAACAAACCCTACCCACATGTTTAATTAATTTATTACAAATAAATTATGCCACTAAACTGGAACATTATAAAGTATGCAACTTTAGCTTTTTGATAACGTTGCATACAACAACATACAACAACAAATCATCAGACACACGTAAGAAAAAAAACATCTGAAACCCCCGAACATTGATAACAAAAGCAACAATGTTAAACGCATAAAAAAAATTATATATAATAAAAAACAAATAGACTTTAAGTCCCACACTCTAGGTTCTATAGGTATTCAATTGCAATACGTTTTGTATGCGTAGTAGCCGTTTTTGTGGAGCTGGAGCAGTATGTAAACAACACTATGTATGTAATTGTAATTATTATTATTATACAGAGACAAAAAAATACGAAAAACAAAAATCATGTGTAGAAAATTAGGCAGAAACGGAGTGGAGCATTTTTTCAATAAAACACTAAAAAAAAAAATACGCTTATGCAAATTCAAACTTCTTTTGTCTATGGAATTGGGTTTTAATCTCACTTAATTTAAATATTTAGCTCTCAACATTTTTTTTATAGCTCAATATATTTAACCAAATGACCCCATACTAATTCCACCTGCCGCGTTTTACCCAATTTTCGGGGCATAAAATACAGTTATAGATGAAACAATCAACTCGTTAGGGTCTCTATATGGTTTTTATTAACATTTATAATTCGGATGTGTTAGATTTTACATATTCGCGCATTATACGCCGTGGTGCGTGGCGTATAATCCGGCTGCGGTCTATAATTTTAACTTAAAACTAGGCTTGTTTGCTATGAGCTAAGCGGGTTAAGCTGTCCATAAGCGGTAGGCAAAAAGTAAAATGTAGAACACAGATGTCAACTACTTAAGTGATGGGCAATCGTAATGCCCTTAAACTTATGCAAGACCATTAAAAACAAAAATTCTCAAAATAAAAATTATTAACAGCAATTGGTAGTCATTGTACTTGTGTAAAGAAGAGTTATTATAAAACTTAATCTGTTTCGATTGTGGTCTATTAGAGTTATTGTGTGTGTGTGTGTGTTTGTAAAACGGGAGATGGTTGCGCTGATGTTGGCCTATTAGAGTTTATCTATGTGAGTAAGCAGCCAACGACGCCTTGCTTATTACTGTTAAACTGCAAATTGGAGATTTTAAAAACACTTATGTCTATGCCACAAAACGATTTCAGTTGCGACGAGTGCGACGACGTGCATTACCGGCAAAGGGCGTGGCATTGGGCGCGCCCGGATGTTGGCCGCTATACAGATTATCCAGAAACTCATGCAACGTGGCCTCACTGTGAATGGAGAAATATTTAATAGCTGATCCTGATTGATTTGGTTCTGAGCGCTTACCTGACACCACTGGCTGGGCCGCCCGTATGATGTGCATGCGACTGTGGTTGCTGCTGGTGTGGATGTTGCTGCTGCTGCTGTTGTTGCTGCTGCTGCTGTTGTTGTTGCTGCTGCTGTTGCTGCTGAGCGCCGCGCACAATGCGATATTGTACCATATGCGAATTGGGCTCTAGATGCGACAGCGCACCCTTCTGACAGTTGGCCCATTCAGTTATGTCATAGACCTTGCCATCCATTAACGCCAAATATTTCCAACGCAGACCCAGCATGCTCGTCTCCGCCCATATGTCGCCCTACCAAATGAAATACAGGTTAATACTAATGCCGAGCACGTGTGAAGCTACTACTCACATCCTTGGCCGAGTGCCGTATCTTACAGGAGGCGCATTCGCGCGCCGCATAATGAGGACGTTCAGTTAGCTTGCGAGGATGACGCTGCGCACAGGTGCTACATCTATAGATAATTGAGAAAATCGGTTTAAACTTGATAAGCTTTTCGTAGTTGCTTGTGTCGCTTACCTTATAGTATTGGCCGCCTCGGTCATTTTGGTTTGCAATTGCGATAGCAAATCGTGCAGCTCCGTCCACGCCTTTTCCGCGTGCAATGCCTCGGCAATGCTTTGGTCATAGGCAAGACGATTTTCCTATAAGGAATGAATGCAAATAAATACTGCAACTTATCTAAGAAGCTGTTTGTTTAACTTACCGGTTCCCCAATCAATTCAAATGCACGCTGCAGCACCTTGAATGCCTCCTCGGCGCCCGCCTGTTTGTTTTTATCCGGATGCACCAGCACGGCAATTTTCTTATAGTGTTTACGTATTTGCTCCTGTGGACTATCCGGCGGCACGCCCAATATGCTGCAATGAAATATTTCAGTTAGTTAAATATGTATTATTCAAGGTGTTCTAAGAGTACATACCTGTAGGCATCCTTGCCCTTGCAGTTCAGCAGCGAGTACATGGCCTCTTCGCCAGTCTGTGGCAGGCGACCCGTTTTAAATGCCTCCGCGCTAGCCTCAGGCGGCTTGCGCTTGTAGAAGCGTCGCCAAAATGCCCAACGTGAGTTTTTTCTGAAGCGTGCATCAAAGCGACGCCAATAGTTGCGCCACCAGATGCTCGGCTTGCCGGAATTCTGCTTCAGTTCGTTGTGCAGCTGGCGAGCATAAGCCACGCCTGCCACATACGCTGTGGTCAGCCGCTCGTACGCCATGCTGCAACCGAGCACAACAATATCATAGACCAAATAGAAGAGCCAGGTGATCAGCTTGAGCGTGTATATCCACCAGGTGTGCAAAATTCGCTTGGCTAGCTCATAATTGCGATTCGAGGTGCTCGCATGCGCTGGTGAATTGGATGACCCATATGCGCCACCTCGATTGCGCTTCGAGGAATACGAGTACGAGCTAGAATTGGAATTTAAATTCGCATTCGATGAGCCGGAGTAGCGTTTCGATGATGAGGAATTTCCATTGTTGTTGCTGTTGCTGTTGCTGATGTTGTTGTGGTGGCTGTTGCTGTTGCTCGAGCCAGATGAATTATTGGAATTATTCGAATTGGCATTCGAGAAATGTGCATGCGAGCTGCTATTGTTGATGCTGCTGCTGCTGCGATTGTTGTTGCTACCGTTGTTTGACTTCCGGCTCGATAAATTGTTATTGCTGCTGCTGTTGCTGCTGCTGCTGGGTAAGCTGCTGTTGCCGCTGTTGTTATTAGTTACCTTGTTGTCGTTGGTTTTGGCGCTGAATCCACTTTGGTTGTTGCTGCTCGTGTTGTTAATAAATTTCATTTGGCCAGGACGCTTCTTATCGGCATTCGGTTTACCAGACCTGAGCGGTGGCTGCGACTGTTGCTGGGGCGGTGGTTGTTGTTGCTGCTGCTGTTGTTGTTGTTGTTGTTGCTGCTGCTGTTGTTGTTGTTGTTGTTGCTGTTGTTGTTGCTGCTGCTGTTGTTGCTGCTGCTGCTGTTGTTGCTGCTGCTGCTGTTGTTGCTGCTGCTGCTGTTGTTGCTGCTGCTGCTGTTGTTGTATTGGCTACCGTCGAATCAGTAAAGAACAAATTAAACAGAAAAGTCAATTAAATAACTATAATCATTTATATCTGATTAAATTCATTCTATTATTAATCAACTGCTTGACTGGAGAATAACCCAGATCCCAATGCGTAAGGTATGAGAGGCTAAATTTTCCATAGTAATTTATTTTAAAAGTATATAGAAGGCAGGCTATTGGAAAATTGCTGCCGCAAGTGTGGAAAATCGGAAATTATTTCGTTCAGTATTTGGAAATTTCGACGTGTTTTAAGAGCTACCTCAATGTAGTAGGGAAATGGGTGGAATAGAAGGGATTGCTACAGTTTAAGTTGCTAATAAAGCTAGCTAATGTCCACCAATATAATCTAAAAACTATCCTAACTATAATATTTAAATTGTGCATTTGGATTTACCGCTTGTTGTGGTTTTTGCTGTGCTCCCTGATTCGACTGCTGGCGCCTCTTGCTGCGATGTCCTGAGGCATTGCCGGACCCATCCTTGATTTCGTGTAGTGGCGAGCGCTTGGAATTATTGCGCAACTCCCGATTACCGTTGCCATTGCCATCTTCCTTGCCTCCTCGTCGCTGCGTAGGATGACCATTCTCCAAGTTGTTGACTGAACGTGTTTCAATACCCGAATTGCTTCTGGCAAGCATTGTGCCCGAGCTGCGCAATGTGCTGCCCTTGCTCAAAACATCTGAATAGGACATGGGCATGGGTTTTACTTCGGCTACAATGCGTCTTTTGCCCTCGCTCAAGCCTGGCACGACTATTGGCGCTTTTTTCAGCGCAGTGGGTGTTGCTGTTGCTGCTGCTGCTGCAGCTGCTGCTGCAACTGCTGTAGTTGTTGTAGTGCTTAAAGTTGGATTCGGATTGACTTCTTTGTTGCCAGAGTTTCCAGGAGCTACTTCCACTGTGCTTTTGGGCGGCACGACTTTAGCATGATACTCAGCCATGGGCTGCAGCTGCTGTAACTTCACAGGTGAAGTCGGCTGTGGTGGCGTTGTCAATTCTATGGGCGTGGCTTCAACATATGCGTTAGCGTTTTCGGGTGGCTCGCCACCAAACTGTATATAACTGCTACCCGTTAGATTTGGCGACCAGTTATTTACAAGATTATTTATAAACAAATTTGCGCTATTGCTCGGTGCAACAGCAGTAGAGACTGCCGCGGGAACATCATCAACCTGATGGAATTGTGGTGTCTGCTGTTGTTGTTGTTGCTGCTGCTGCTGCTGCTGTTGCTGCTGCTGCTGTTGCTGTTGTTGCTGTTGCTGCTGTTGGTTTACAATATTCATCTCGGGCTTTGGCAGTAACGGATTGGTGGCAAACAATTCATAAAGTGGTGTCTGCTGTGCTGCTGACGGCTGCGCCTGTGCCTGGTTCTGTGCAGCCGTGGCCGCTACTTGATGATGTTGATGCTGGTTCATTGGTGCCATGTTGATATGCGAGAAATTGGCCGCCGCTTGCTGAGCGTAAACATCGTTGACAGCATTCTCGGGACAGTGATAAACCTTAAGAAAATTGCCATGACCAACAGGCAATACGGAGTACGTTTCGGTTTGACCAGGTGGTCCGGAGTATGCCAAGTTGTACAGATATTCATTATAGACGTGTGCAGATGGAGCTTGCTGTGGTTGTGGTATCATAGGTGGCTGATGATGATGTGGTGGGTGGGGGTGATGTGGGGGAAATTGAACACCCATGTGTGGCGGCCACATCAATGGCCCCTGCGCCTGGCCCTGTTGCTGTTGATGCAACAAATGTTGTTGTTGTTGTTGTTGTTGTTGTTGTTGTTGTTGTTGCTGCTGCTGTTGTTGCTGTTGCTGATGTGCCAGAAAACTGGCATATTCCGGACTGTGTGGTGGCAAATTGTGGTAAGTGGCGGCAATTGCTTCGTCCTCGACCATACCACCCGAGCAGATGCGCTCATCCTGATGAGTCCGCGCCGTCATATCCCGCAACACTGCGCCAAAAAAAGGCCCTTGCCAGTGCCTTTTCTCGCACTGACGCTATTGTCCTATTAGAATTTCATGCGATTGTGCGTTTCGCTTGCTCGGCGATGCATTTATGAGTTACTGAAGTTGTTTGCAAATAACGATTGCAAACGCTGCCACACAAATTGAAATACGTTGCTACACTTCTTTCTGCAATCACTTTTAACACAAATAATATATTATGCTTGCGTATGTGAGTGTATGTGGCACCGATGCCACTCACAAGTAACGCAAACAGGGATGCACAGAGTGTACATATATCGATTAACTCGAATTTGCGAATTCATTTCTGAATAAGTGGTAGCTGTTTATCTTTAAATAAGTTTGACGTTTCCCACCTCTTTATATTTATAGCTGTTATATATTGAATCTGCTAAAACAGGCCTAATATCTGTAGCATTTCATTAGGGGCTAAAACAGGTCTTTTTAATCCGCACAATATGGCAACCTTGCCTCTGTACCTGTTACTTTTGTATTGTTTTAATACGTATTTTTACTTTGTTAAAGTCGAGGATAGCTATTCTAACAAAGAAAACAGAGAATGAAATTTACAGCTAAGCCTTAAAAATAGCTTTTCATCCATCATCAACTAGAAATAAACTTCAATAAATTCAAATTATATATATACTCGTTATGGTGCCGTTATCAAATGTGCTTGCTTCTAATAACAGACTAGGAAACTGGTAAGTTTGTGGCTGCATTTCAAATTAAATTAATTCAGGGTAAAAAAATAACAAAGATATTTATTATTGAAAATACTATAATATCAAAAATATAAAAGCCCTTTAAATGTAGTTCTTAAATATCTTCTTATTAAAATCTTTTAATCAAATTGGATATATGCTTGAATAAAATCATCATATTATACTCCAAATTTTTCTGGTAGTTTTGCACTGCACATTAGGTATTTTCATAGTTTCCCAATATGGTCATACAACTTAAATGAACAACTCAACACTGATGATTGCTTCTCTCTTGGCATTTTATTCCCTATTCTCATTCGCAATGGCCGCCAACAAGGAACGCACTTTCATCATGGTTAAGCCCGATGGAGTCCAAAGAGGACTCGTCGGTAAGATCATTGAGCGTTTTGAGCAAAAGGGCTTCAAATTGGTAGCAATGAAGTTCGTGTGGGTGAGTAAAGCCGGCCGCATAATTGAATTAAGAAATCAATAAGTACGCGTGTGCAATTGTCGTATTTAACCTCAACATGGCATGGGGTCGCCCTTGCTTACATTATAAATGACCGGTTGAGGTTATATATATGCATACATCTGATTTTAGAGGTCATGAAAATGCTAACAATACTGATTTAATTGCAGGCTCAAAAGGACTTGTTGGAGAAGCACTATGCTGATCTGTCTAGCCGCCCCTTCTTCCCCGGTTTGGTCAACTACATGAACTCCGGTCCAGTGGTTCCCATGGTGTGGGAGGGCTTAAATGTGGTCAAGACCGGCCGTCAAATGTTGGGCGCTACCAACCCAGCTGATTCCCTGCCTGGCACCATCCGTGGTGATTTTTGCATCCAGGTTGGCCGCAACATCATTCATGGCTCTGACGCTGTCGAGTCCGCCGAAAAGGAGATTGCTCTGTGGTTCAATGAGAAGGAGCTAGTTAGCTGGGCTCCAGCCGCCAAGGACTGGATTTACGAATAGATTCAGCATGCAAGTGCATGAATCTGTGCGCCACTCACATAAGTCTAACAGCGATTCTTTTAAAGAATAAAAATTCCACATAATATACCCATACGTTTGTTTTATTCACATTTATATCGGGCCCACTGTGCAGTGGGCATATCAGCTGGCAATACCCAACCGTTGGGTATGCTGCTACCGCTCTTGCCGTAACTTATATAGGAGTCCCAAATGATTCTATATGGCAAAAAACGTATTAGCAAATTCGGCTACTTTAAATTCTCAATAAACTTACCGCCGTTGTATCAATTCTTGTGTTTTTCGCTTTTTGTCCAAATTCCCTTGCTTTAAAGGCACCGTAGAGCTTCCAAATATAACTCCGGCCCATTGCGCCTCGCAGTTGGTAGGGGCTTCTTTATTGATTTCATCGGTACACTCCTGCAGCACACTTCGCCAAACTGTGCGCATTCTGGACAGTTTTTCAGCCAAGTCTTTGTTGCCACCACGAGCTTTGTACAATTGTTCCAGCAAGTCAAATGTGTGCAACATATTTTTGGCATCGTGCTGCTTTTTGAGTGTGATGTGTTCCGCTCTCTTCTGAGCCGGCAAATGTGCTGCAGCTGCTATATTTAACTTGGAAGGTAACGCTTTATCTTTTACACATTTTAGAGTATCCCTTTTTACGCTCCTTTGCAGCTTGGCCCTTTGTTTGGCCCGCTGTCGTCTTCGTTTACGTTTGAGTTGAATGCGTGCAATTTGGTCACACGGCAATTCCTTTAGCTTCGCTAACAAATTTGTGGTCTGCCACTTCAACTGGCGAGACTTCTTCAAGTCCAAGTCACTTGGTGACGCATTGCTCAAACCTTCCAAAAGCTGTAAATTTTCTATGACATTATTAATATCTGTCTTTATTTCGCTTAGTTTGTGACCTTGCGGCATTTTATCTATAAGTGTTGGTTAACGTTGCAAATAGTTTTATTAAGTGTGGGGTGCTTGTATTGAATTTTAACAGGGAAGAGTATGGTTACAATGTGGCTGCATCGAGTCAGCTGACAGCCTACGATTGTAAAGCAGATTCGGCTTCTACTAGCACCTCGGACGCTTTTGTGTAGGCCTCCGTTTCTTTGAGATCCAGTTCATCCTGTAGATATTTTTGCAGCACTTCGAACTCCTTTTGCAATCTGTAAAAAATCACACCGTTATTGTTGACCGCAAATTGGTATCATTAAATGATGACTCACCTGCGCTTTGAGTCTGGTATCATCATTTGGCACTCCTGTATCACCTCTTCCTGTTTGCGCAACACATGATCATCGGCGCCTTCATTTTTGAATTTATCCAGACGTGCCAGCTCTGTGTTTATCTCCCTCTCATAAACTGTCTTCTCCTTGGCCAGGCGCTTCACAACACCCGTTTTAATAACCAACTGCCTAATACGTGGATCTGCCATTTCTGTTCTTTTATTGGTCTATTATTATTTGTACACTCCTAAATAATCTTTATGTGTCAATATTAATTGACGTTTTTAAATTATTTAATATATTTGTCTCCAATTTCCGCACAGCCGGCTGAGCTTTCTTGCTGTATTGTTTAGAAACGCCGCCTGTGAGTCAGCTTGCAGCGTTGCCACACTTTCCAGCTTACCTTGTGGCCATTCACAATAGTTACCGTTCTGAAAAAAAAAAACTGTTACGTATCAAACGAGCGGCAGTTCGAATATTAAATTTAAAAATGTTTTACTGCTAAAAGTAGATCCAGTTTTTGGCTTATTAACCTGGTAACCAGCTGAAAACCAGTAAATCAGTAAACGGTCTAGTGGGCTCGACCAATAGATTTTTCCCTAGATTGTTCACTTTGTTAAAAGCTAAAACCTGTCAACTGAAACAACCATTACATTGTGTGTAGTTATTTACGGTTAAGCATTCTTTATTTTTATTTTGTCAATTAATACATTAAAAGATCATTTTTTTGTTTTTTAAGCAACGTTTTCTGTATCCATGAATGATTTTCTGCTGTGGGTTACATTAGTAAGTTTCATAGTAATGACAATGAATGCACTATGTAATGTTTTGTTATGTGGTAAATCGTTTATGAGAAACATTTGGTTAAAGTATGCAAATGCCAATGAGACTCGATAGAACATTTAGAATGTTTACAAAACCGCATGATTATGTTTTATGAATATTTTTATAATACTTCTTAAGCATTTGTCTTTTTTTTCTTTTTTGGGAAAAATTTTGAATTCATTGCGAATGTAGTCTTGGGTTTTTTTTTAAGTATTGTTAGTTGCAGAGTGGTTTATAACTAAATTCTGAAATTGCTTTATATAATATAGATTTTAAATCGAATGCCTCCGACTGACTTATCAAAAGTATAAAAAGTGTTTAAAATCCTTTGATTGAAATAATGATTAATGGTTTAAAATTATGTTGTGATGGATAAATGAGTGACAAGTGGGGTCGAAGTGGGGGGCTGGGCTAGCAGCAAACTTCAGTGGCGATTATATTCTGATTATGTTCAATGCGAGACTGTTTCCTGCGAAACGATTTGCGGTGGCGAAACAAGTTTAGATAGTTATAGTATATAATGATTATGAATATGATGGCGACCGATTTTGAGTACGCATGCGGGAATGATTCCAGACGACCAATGTTTCCAGGCGCCTCGCCGTCATCTCGTACAGCTGGCGTGAGGTGGATGGTGGATGTGCCTAGAGGTCGACCCATTATTGTTGGCGTACATATACCCTCGCAAATTGTATGTGTGTTTATAATAAATTGTAATATTTCCTCAAGTTTATATAATATTTGAATGCAGCAGTAAATAGTTGTAGTTAATGATGGTGTTTGATACGCCACGGACTTTGTGTTTAGCCCCTGATTCGGTTTTGATCGTCTATGATTAATAGATACTATAAATTTTAAGTGTGTTGTTGCTCTTGCCATTTGCTTTTCGAGTGTTTGAGTGTTGTTGTTTTTGTTGTTATTTGAATTACAAGTCTGCAGACACCCTAGTTATTTCTTCTTCTGCGCCTTCTCAGCTGCTTTTGTTACTTTGCCCGAGGTCGTTTCTTTAAAGTTCACCGATTTGATGACACCGACCGCAACAGTCTGACGCATATCGCGCACTGCAAACCGACCCAGCGGCGGAAATTCTTGGAAGCTTTCAACGCATAGAGGCTTGGATGGAACCAGCACTATGATGGCCGCATCGCCCGATTTGATGGCCTTCGGTTCGGTCTCGGTGGTCTTGCCAGTACGGCGATCGCACTTCTCCTTGATCTCGGCAAACTTGCAAGCAATATGTGCCGTATGGCAATCCAGCACAGGGGTATACCCATTAGCAATTTGCCCAGGATGATTGAGAACAATTACCTATGAAAAGCAAAACATTTAGGATGCCATTAAAACGATTAACTTTTATATTTAAATCCGACCCACCTGAGCAGTAAAATCGGCAGCACCACGTGGAGGATTGTTCTTCGAATCTCCGGCCACGTAGCCGCGACGCAACTCCTTTACCGAAACGTTCTTTACATTGAAGCCTACATTGTCGCCTGGCATGGCCTCGGTCAGTGCCTCGTGATGCATCTCAACCGACTTGACCTCAGTGACCAAATTAACGGGAGCGAAATTTACCACCATGCCTGGAACGAAAGATGGGGAATTTGTAGGTAGCAACAGAGCTACACACAGCTGGAATCCTAACATACCTGGCTTGAGAATACCCGTCTCCACACGACCGACTGGCACTGTGCCGATGCCACCAATCTTGTAGACATCCTGCAGAGGCAGACGCAACGGCTTGTCAGTGGGCCGCTGGGGCGGCATAATCGCGTCCAGCGCGTCAATCAAGCACTTGCCCTCCGTTTTTCCCTCTTTGCGTTCGACGGTCCAGCCCTTGAACCAGGGCATCTTTTCGGATGGCTCGAGCATGTTGTCGCCATGCCAGCCAGAAATGGGCACAAAAGCGACTGACGCCGGATTATACCCGATCTTCTTGATGTACGAGGAGACCTCCTTTTTGATCTCTTCATAGCGTGTCTCGCTGTACGGCGGCTCCGTGGAATCCATCTTGTTAACGCCCACAATGAGCTGCTTGACGCCCAGCGTAAAGGCCAACAGCGCATGCTCACGCGTCTGGCCATTCTTTGAGATGCCGGCCTCAAATTCGCCGGTGCCAGCGGCAACAATTAGCACAGCACAATCGGCTTGCGAGGTGCCGGTAATCATGTTCTTGATGAAATCTCGATGACCGGGCGCATCAATGATGGTCACATAATACTTGGCCGTCTCAAATTTCCAGAGCGCAATATCGATGGTAATGCCGCGCTCGCGCTCAGCCTTCAGTTTGTCCAGCACCCAGGCGTACTTGAACGAGCCCTTGCCCATCTCCTGGGCCTCCTTCTCGAACTTCTCAATTGTACGCTTATCGATGCCGCCGCATTTGTAAATCAAATGGCCGGTGGTAGTCGATTTTCCCGAATCGACATGGCCAATTACAACGATGTTAATATGAATCTTCTCCTTGCCCATGATGCTATGTAATCAACGACTCCTGGGTCTCTGAGCTCCAATTATACGTTGGTTTCCTTTTAGTAGTTTTATAGAACCTGAATGCAAATTACATACACATATATATATAGAGATATATATATATCAAATTTGGAGAGTGGGTGACAATATAGAGAGTGAGAGAGAAAAAGCAAAGGCGTGTGCTATAAGGACACGAGTGAGCATAGCCAGGACTTGCATATGTATGTGTGTATGTTTCTACGTATATGCATGCGTGAGTGTATTTATGTATGACATAGGTGTTGGTGTGGGCGCGACTCTGTTGGCAGTGTAGAGACGAAAATGTTACAGCTATGTAGGTGTATATACAGTGAAAGCTCTTTCGAGCGGATATCTACTGTCTTAAGATTGCTATCCTGCTAGGAGATTTGTCCACTTTAGAGATATCTTAACCAAGAATTCCATTTAATTTTCATATTTTTATGAATGTTAAGAATAATTAATAAAAAAAAAAACTTCGCCAAGCAAAAGACTAATGTTAGAAAACCCAAGCAAAAGGATTCAAACCAATAAATTGACCGGCTTAAGAAGTTGTACGGTCAAGAGGAAACTGTCCAATATTAGAGCCTTCACAGTATGTGCATGTAAACACATTTAATTTAACTTCATTTGCTATAGAAACTCACCTGAAAATCGCGTGAAATTTAACTTGCTGCTTACAGGCGCTCCAATTGGCGATGTACTGAAAATATGAATAAAAAAATGATTTGCCATTTGTCGAGTAATAGGAAATATATCTTAGTATAAGAGACGGTAAATAAAATGTATTATTTTGCAAAAATCCAATATTTGGTTACATGAATATTAATATTACCAATTGCGGCCGACACGTCTGAACGTTAGTAAATGCCCGGAAAATCTGGACGATAGGTATGCAAGCAAGTCTCAATGCTCGACGAGAAAAAAATCAATAATGAACCCAGACAAACGACGAGAGCCTCTGGAGCTGAAAAGCGAGACAGCCGAGTGGCGACGTTGCCGAATGCACTCCCCACAGTCCCTACCCCCGCCACATGCAGTGCACGGAAAATATACGGCCCGCACTCTTAAGGCCAGCCCTTGCACAAGAATTAAAACCAGGTTAGCTATACATACACCTGCTGACAATGGGCTTTATAATTGTAGTGTAACAATAATTTAACAACAATTATAAATCAATTTATTTTAAGAGGCAAAGAGCAGGAGGAGGCGATAAAAATCAATGCTGGTGGTAAAAACGGGTTGCAAGGGTATTTGTAAATTTTGCTCACCGCAGGCATTTGCCGCATTCGTGTGCTCTTTTCTGTGTTCTGAACGGAAAATTCGCGATTCAAAAGGGTGAAAAACTGCACATGCACACACATACGCAACACAGGCATGCAGAGACATAAATGCCGCCGCTGCTTCGTGTTGCACTTGGTGCTCATCGTTTCCGTTGGTCGCAGTCGTCTTTGATAAACTTGCAAAAACAACAAGGAGACAAACATGCACGCATACATGCAAACATATGTGTGTGCAGGCATATGTATGTGCGTGTGTGCACTGGCTGTTTAGCGTGATTTATTTTCTAGCCTAGAAACAATTTTTACTTGCACTTTTTCTTTAGTTATTTTTAACTACACACTAGTGTGTGTGAGTGCATTTGCACACAAGTGCAAATTGAAAAGAAGAAGAACCTTAAAGGGAAATGTAAAAATACTTTGCCATGCAGCCTCTTTGCAGTACACTAACAGAATTGCACGTAAATCTATTGAAATACACATACATACATACACATGCATGAAATATGTATTATGTTAACTCTGTTTAAATTTGGCAACATACATATGTAACTGTGCAGCAAGCACACGCACTCACACACACGCAAACACATGGGAATCTGCGACTTTTGCAGACACGGCCGCCATTTTGGAATTTGCCAGAGAGCTGGGCATACTTATATACATACATACATATATCTATATGTATGCATGTATACTGTACGTTAAATGTCTACATATATAGACAGAATTCTTTGCACACATCCATTTACATATGTATATACATAAGTATGTTATGTATTAATAAAAATTATAATTTGTTATTTTTTTGCCATCAATTTCGCATACTTGTGTACGTAGGCATTTAGATACCGTTACACACATAAGCGTGTATGCATGCACGTATTATGCAAAACCTCACAATCGAGACACCGGCCGGTAAACACACGAAATTTAAGCCGACTCTCACACTTTAAACAGTTCGAAATACACAACAATAATAAACATTTAAAGCAGCCCGAGAACTTTTTTGTCATTAAGCACACAAAAAATTAATCGATGGATATTGGTGTAAGCGTTATTTAAGGATTTTATGAAAGCTGCACGGACCTTCTCTGTACGTGCACTTACCTCGAAACCAGAAAACGGAAAGACCGAAATCGTCAGAGACAGGCAGTCGGTTGACGATGAGACCGAGAGACGATCCGAGCCGATGCACGATGATGCAACGCCGAATGGCTGACAGAGTAGCCACCAACTGGGGCAAGGGATAGACATGGGATGACAAAATTGAGAATTGCGGGTAATTTTAAAAGTCAACAGTGATTGACAAGGCAATGTATTTTTGATTACGCTAGGAAGAAGAAGAGCACTTGAGTTGCCGTTAGCTGTTCGTGGCGGTCAGCTGTTTGCTTCTTAATGTGTGTAAGGAACGTAGATTTTATTACGGTAGAATCTCTACAAACGTATAGCATTTTTAGACGGACATATCCTCAAGCCAGCATATTTTTATTGAACGAATACTTTCAAAAGACATTTAAATTATGCTGTTTGTCCGTATTTTTACATAAAAACGTTTTTTGTAGAACAAAATTATCCATAGTATTTCGAAAGGTAGCCTATCAAACAAAAATTGAACTTAAATCTTCGGTAATCGGCAGACTGCCATTTGTGAGTGGGGAAACTTATGTAGCAATGAAAATTACGTGTTCCTGTGGGCATTTCCCTTATTTAGTTTGATAAAAAATTTCTGTAATATACTTTAATATAATCAACACAGAAATTAAGTTTCTATCAGAAATTACTTATACATTTGTATACATCTATATGTACTGTATATGCTTATATTCTATTCTAGGTCACAGCAACAATTATTTCCATTCACTGTCCGACTCGTATTCTGGCCAATCTGGTTTAACGCCCGTAGGAAGCTTTTTTTGCTCCAGATATTCATTGAATTGTTCTGGTATGGACATGAATCTGCGTATTTTCAATCGAAATTGCCTCCACGTCCATTGGCCATGATTGCGACGATCTGTTACCATGGCCTTGTAGTTGAACTTGTGTTTGTTGAGGAAATATGAGAGCTCCTTTACCACACCCTTGGGTAGTCTAAAAATGGTATTTATGAAGCATGATAACCAAGAAGAGATATCAAATTTGCTTACCTGAACTCTGGATCGGCTCTTCGATCAATTGCCATCTGTTCTAGGTCTTGAACGACATGCCCGCGTTTTGGTTTTTCAGGCTCTGGTTCTGCGGCCTTAGAGCCTAGCGCCGCCAGCTCCTCTTCGTCGAGCTCCTCCTCCATGAAGCCATTCACAAGTTTAACAGCCTCAAGCCTTTCGCGTTTATAGTTCGGTATGCCCACCGACTTGTTTGGATCGCTGGCCAACCCCATTTCACTGAAATTGGTACCCACGCGTTTACTTTCCAGCCACAATTTCTTCATTTCGGGACTGTCAAGTGAGCATGTTTTATTAGGGGCAACTGAATATGCTTGCGCGCTGGGGAACTTACTCCTTGATGTTTCCAGTGGATTTTCGTGTTTTGTTCATTGTTTTGCGATTGACATTGTAGCGGTAACGCTTACGCACGTGATTCTTGCGAATTTTCATTTTTTCTCTTTAAGATTGTTAAAAATGGATGCTATGAAAACAAAACAATTGCACGTGTTGCAGCTGTGTGTTATCGAAATTTAAAGCAATCTAAATTAGGATTGCGACACGTTATTTCGTTTGGAGGCTGATTATCGATAGTTTAACAACATAAGAGAAGGTAACTGCTATCGATAGCTCCTTTTTAAAGTAAACATATCGATGCACAGACGTTTTTAATGTTTGCTCACATCACTAACTTTATATTTATAAGGAAAGATGCGCGACGAGATTTTGGATCCGCATAATTTGGTTAAAAACCGGGAAATATTATACCGGTTAATGATAAGGTAAGTTACAATTCACCAATTATAAAGCGTATTAGTTATTTGAAGTCTCTATGTGTAGCCAGTTAATGTACGATGGCTTGGAAAAATTTGCAATGGAGCTGTCAATGCTGGTCAAGGCGGATCAATGTGCGCCAAGTGAGCGTCTGCTGCATGTCATGATCTCGGGCATGCAGACAATGGCAGACAAAGATAAAGCCAATGCGGATGATGTGCTGCCTGGCATTGATCTAGAATTTGAGCCGGAGGCATCTGCACTAGCGCCAGAGCCGCATTCCTATGAAACTGCCTATGTTACCTCGCACAAGCAGGCCTGCCGTGCTGGTGCCTTCAGCTTTGATGGCTCCCTGGTAGCCACGGGCAGTGTGGATGCTAGCATAAAAATATTGGATGTGGAGCGCATGTTGGCCAAATCCGCGCCAGAGGATATCGAGCCTGGCCGCGAACAGCAGGGCCATCCAGTTATTCGCACACTGTATGATCACACGGATGAAGTGTCCTATCTGGAATTTCATCCAAAGGAGCACATACTAGCGTCGGCCTCTCGCGATGGCACCGTGAAACTCTTTGACATTGCCAAGCCGTCGGTGAAGAAAGCTCACAAAGTTCTCACCGACTGTGAGCCGGTGCTTTGCGTCTCCTTTCATCCAACTGGCGACTACATAGCCATTGGCACAGAGCACAATGTGCTGCGTGTTTATGACGTGCACACGACGCAGTGTTTTGTTAGCGCCATTCCATCGCAGCAGCACAAGGCAGGCGTCACATGCGTAAAGTATTCGCCCACAGCAAAGCTCTATGCAACGGGAAGCTTTGATGGCGATATCAAAATCTGGGACGGCATCAGTGGGCGGTGTATAAACACTATTGCTGAGGCTCACAGCGGGGCGGCCATTTGCTCCTTGCAGTTTACGCGAAACGGAAAGGTAAATCCTTGATGGTATTTATATGATTACCAGTTTTAATACCTACCCATTTTTGTTGTAGTACTTGCTTTCATCTGGCATGGACTCGATTGTTTACCTGTGGGAGCTTTGCACCAGTCGGCCCATACAGACATATACGGGCGCCGGCACCACCGGCAAACAGGAGCATCAAGCGGAAGCTGTATTCAATCACACCGAAGACTATGTGCTGTTCCCAGATGAGGCAACAACGTCTTTATGTTCCTGGAACTCGCGTAATGGCTGTCGCCTGACACTCAACTCTCTGGGCCACAACGGACCTGTGCGCTACATAACCCACTCGCCCAACGCGCCCGCTTTTCTCACCTGTTCCGATGATTTCCGAGCACGTTTTTGGTATCGCCGTGCTAATAATCAATAGTTGGTAGGATTCTAATTAAACTTTTAAAACTATTTTACAATTAAAATATTAACTCGATTTTATAATTTTCAGAAATGTGGGGACAGTACTCGGTTACAGGGTCTGCCGTAATCATACCGTCCCGCATAGGTATGCTATATATTCTGATAGTTGTCAACCCGTCGCTAGATGGCGCCAGCGTTTCTCTATTGAGTGACAATATATAAAATATTTTAAATAAAAAAAATGCTATTTGAGACTAGATTTCAAAATGGTTGATAAACGACAAAACAAAAAATTTTTTTTTACAATTTTCTAAGTTTTATTTGTAATCTATTGTAGGTGTTATTGTAGTTACTATAAAAAAAACAAATTTTAGAAGCTTCTGAGGGGGTTCCAAATTTTTTTTAAGAATATGTCTGTCAAAACTCGTCTAAATTGATTCAGAATATAAAAAAATATTTTTATCGAAATTATTTTTTAAAAAATTAGATAAATTGATACTTTATATTTTAGAATCTTATTAATATATTAAGTAGAAGTTGCCTCTTACTAGATTAGCGTTAAATTACCTAGATCCAGCCCAGATATCCAGATAATATATGGAGTGCCCGACTGCATTTAAAAGGAAATATGAGAGTACGTTGTATAAAATCTATTTATTGAGCGCATTGACAGCTTAAGTCGTAATGATTGCTTTAAGTAAATACATTTAAATCAGAAAAATACATAATACAAATGCTGAGTACTGTTTTTTGTGCGTACGTTATGTGGTGCATATATGTAGGACACTAGGCAATTATTGGGTAATAGCTAGTTGGTAGTATCCATTGTTGAGCTTAAGTAAAAAATATCAGTTAATATTCACTGGAAGTCCCTTGCGCATTTCGACAATGCTTTAATAACTATATAACTACAATAACTAGTTTAAATATGCTAAATATATATATATATATTATAGTATGTGTATAAATCTAGAAAAAAGTCTGCTAGAGCATAATTAAGTAGTCGTTAATTAAGTTTACAACATTTACATGGGTTGGGCTTGCCAGACGCCACGTAGTTATAATTGTTTCACTTTCTTTTCTTTTTTTTTTTTGATAATTGCACAAATAGCCAATTCATTGGGTTTCCGGTTTCTTGTTTTACCAATAAAACACACCAATTATTCTACGGTCTTTGAGTATTGAACGTAATACTATATACAACAAAACGAGAGACTAAAACAAAATACGGTTTAACAAAATCACATAAGAAATAAACAAAAAATATATAAAGTAACGAGTAGAAAGTAACGGGTAAATTTAGTTGGACGGCGCCTACTCGTTAGTTTCAAAAGCACATTTCTGTTGCATGAACGAGTGGCAAACTAACGAGCACATTTTACTCGTTGCTGCCAATCGACGAGTACCCAATTGCAACGAGTCACATACAATTATTAATTTAAATATGAGTTAAAACCAAAAATTATAATCGTTAAGGCAGTGGGATAAAGAAATTTCCTACTAGTTAATCAGTTGCATTTGACTTAACACTAAATATTTATAAGTACATAATATCTATAGAACTACGCGTAAGGCTTTATGGACGGAATCATGTTAAACTTATCGCTATATCGCTTAACTAACGAATTTTGCTAGATGATGTGCACTAAAGGGCCTTAAGGATTAGTATTAACTATTATGCGTTTTGAGTGTTTCAAGTTCTGGCCAAGGGCGTAAGCAGAATTTTGTTTTATAGGGGTAGGGCGCTCAAATATTTATTATCTGATTTTTTCATAAAATGTGTTTTGTGTTTAAGGAGTTCTCCTTTTTTTAAATTAATGTTTTTAAAACTGGTTTTTTTTTTTTGAGTCTGCAGTCATTTGCCTCACATTGCTGACCCCTTTTGGAGACACTCTGCCTACGCCCATGGCTCTAACAATTGCTTAGCATTAAGTATATTAGTATTTTACAGTTTTTTGTTTTGTTTAAGGCACGCTCGCTCTCTCTCTCTCTCTTCCTCACTCTCTCTCCCTCTTCCATATCTCTCTCTGTGATCCTAGGCTTAAGTCTTTACGTTGCTGTTTGCGCTGGCGGCAGGCTCTTGCCCTCCGACACCGAGTACATGGCCGGCGGTGAGGGGGATGGCGATGGCGAGATTTGTATCTCGTTTTTGATGATGACGTCATGCTGCAAACTGAGCATAGCTGCCGCAGCCGCTGTGGGCGTGGCTGGCGCTGTCTCCATATCCTGGTCCTGTTCATGCTCCAGCTTGACAACATCCGGCAGCAGCAGAGCGTTGTCCTGGCAGTCATAGGGTGACTGTTGCTGCTGCTGCTGCTGGTGGTGCTCCTCCAGCTGGCGCTGCATCTGCTCCTGATGCTCCAGTTGCTGCTGCTGCTCCAGCTGCTGTTGTAGGTGTTCCTGCTGCTGCTGCTGCTGATAGAGATTTGTGTGCATATCGCCCGCTGCCGCCGCGGAGATCAAATACTTGAGCGGGCTAAAAGCGCCGATGTCCTTGGGCGACGTAAAATTCTCGTGCGTCATCTTTAGATGATTCTTCATTTTGTCTGGCCGTGAGAATTCCTTGCAGCACACCGGACAGGGAAACACCTTGCGATGCTTGCCCTCGTGATAGAGAAACGCGTGCCGCTGGAAGCTGTATTTGTTTTTGAAGGTCTTCTGCATGTTCTCTTTGGCGCATTCGGTGCACCGATAGACGCCCTCGACAACGCTCGCATAACGAAACAGATCCAGTCCGCGCACCGACATCTCGGTCAGATGCTCCGCCTGGTCGTCCAGCGTGGACTGCGCTTTGCGTCGCACACGTCGCCGCTGTACGGGGCGTTTGGGCGTGGCAGGCGCAGTGGCAGCCCTGGCTGCGGCGGAGGTTTCATTGTTGGTCAGCGGCGGCTCCTCAAAGCCCGGCAGTCCGGCATTCTCATCCGCCAGCGTGAGCAGTTCGTGATCGGTTTCATCGCATTTGTCCGGATTGTTATCGACCACGCACAGCAGCTCCAGCTCCTCATCCACATAGTGTGTTTCGGCGGGCGGCGAGGCATGAGGGGCCGGCGGTGGCGCCTGCTGCTGTTGTGCCTGGTAATAGTCCGCTTTGGCGGCCATGTGCAGCAGCAGCTGTTGCTGCAGGCTGGCATTGTGATTGTTGTTGTTGTTGTTGCTATTGTTGCTGCTGTTGTTGTTGTTGTTGCTGCTGGGCGTCTGCTGCGCCTGCCGCTCCGCCGCATTGGCCAGCGACTGCAGCGCGCTGCAGCTGCTCTCCTGCTGCTGCTGCTGGATCTCCATGGCATCATCCACAGGCATAGCCGCCGGCAACGGCAGCGACGTTGGCACCGCCTGCGGCACCATTTCCGGATCCTTGGCCCCACCGCGCAGCTGCTGCTTGAGCAGCGAATTGTTATTGTGATGCCCACCCGCCGGCTGATTGCTCGCATTTATCGCGCGTATCTTCAGGCCCAATATGGTGGGCAGATGCAGCGACGCGGCGGCGCCATTATCGCCACTGGATTCGCGTCCATTTGGCGACTCTGTTGTTGTTGCTGTGCTTGTTGTTGTTGTTGTAGTCGCTGTGCCGGGCGAGATATGCGTGGACGTGCCGAAAAGCCGCTGCGAGAGCTCGGGTGTGGCGGTTTGTGCTGTGGGCAGGATTGGGAATATGAAATATTGAATAGCATATTGCATTAGGTACAGAATAATTAAGCAACAAGCACGAGTATTCAAGTCGGGTGTGCCCGACTGGATGATACACTGCACCCAGCGCCGAGATGTAGTAAAAAATATTCCAGCTTCCGTTTACACAGACATATACACTTACACCCACACACATGCTGCTTGCTTTATATGGGAAATGCTTCTTGACTCACTTCGGTGTTTAATGTCCGATCTTTATGCAATTTTCAGGGCTTGAATATGACATTCAAAAGTACCTATGTATGTACCAAAAACCAAGGTTTTACTTTTTTTTTTTGGCGAGAAGGGGTTAAGGTATCTCAAAAGTGAAATTGGTTATTTAAAAAGTAAAATAGGAGCTGCGTATACTCTAAGAGAACCTGCATGCCAAATTTGTGTTCTCGCCGAGATATGGTAAAAAGCCTAGTCTGAAAATCGATACTTATCGATTTCGTGTAAATTGGACTATCGATTATTTGAAATAAACTTGATCTGCACGGCTGTAGAAGGAGGACAAACGTTGGCGACCTTTCCATTTTATAAATCTTTATTTAGCGGGATCGAAGTATGAGGCAGATTTATTAAGGGGAACAGATCGACTCGGCTAAGGCTAAACATGATCAAGAATATATACAAATGCTTTAAAGGTTGGCAAAAGCCTCCTGTTATATACATTAACAATTTATCTCTTTTGCACTTTTCTATGGAGTATAGGAAATAAGAATATAAAATAAAATAAATATATATGTAAATTAAATAAAACTCGAACAATTTCTTTCTTTTACAGAACTGTTTTGTGTGTGTGTGTGTGTGTATTTTATTTCTCTTCACATTTGTCAGTTAATCGATATATAATAATCATTTATCGTATTTCGTAATCAAATATAACAAAATATGTTTTCTTTTTAAATGAATAATATTGCGTGATTTACTAAAATTGAATAATTTTACAAGCTTAATTGTTGTTTATTTTTTTTTTATATTTTAAATATTTTTTTTTTATAATTTTTGCGTTTTTGCTAAACCTGCGCCAAGGCCACACGTGTGTGTGTGTGTGTGTGTGTGTGTGTTTGTTGTGGGTTTTACCACACACATTACTTTTGCCTTTCAACCATATTTAACTGTGCAACAAGCTCTGTTTTTATATAACTTTATAATCTTTTTTTTTCGTTTTCTTTGGGCATCAAAAGCATGACTGTTTAATTATAATATATATAATATTATGGAAGGGATTTGATAATAAAAAATATAGATTTTCGAGTTGGAAGTTTGTTTTTTTTTCTTTAGGCATGGAAAATGTTAGGGGTGCTCCCTCTTTTCATTATGTGTGTGTGTGTGTGTGTGTGTGTGTGTGAATGCAAAATAAACATATTTGTATATAAAACGTAAACTAAAATTAAAGTTTAAATAAAGTACATACAATATAGATACATATTGTACATATATATATGTATATGTATATATGTGTGTATAGCTGTGTTAATGCCAAAGAAAATAGATATATATATATATATAGATATATATAGTTGTTGTTGGGGTAGGCTGTAGTTATCGAATCTGTTGCGATTGTTGGTGGATAGAGCGTTTACTTAACTAAATTGCACTAGCTAACACTAAATAAAGAATTAAAAACAAATTATATTTAATAAATTATTGTATTTAATTATTACTGTTTAATTAATAGCTGTTTTAATTAGGTTTTTTATTTTCGATGCCAACAAAAATTGGAGCTGTGTCTGTGATTTTTTGTGTTTGTTTATTTTTTTTTTTTGAATGCAACAAATTCAATTTCAAATTCAATTTTTTACTCTTTGCTTTTTAACTTTTTCAAGTTTTGTTTTTTGTTTTTGGAGATCGCGTTTATTCATATTTTGCATTTGTTTATATTTGAATTGTTTATTTTTGCTGTTGCTTTGTTGAATGTACATGTTTTTCCTTTTATTTGTTGTTTGCATTTTGTTTTTATTTTTATTTATTTTTTATTAATTTTACTTTTGTTTTGCTTCATTTCTTTGGCGATAATTTAAGCCTCCGATATACAACATAAATTTTAATTGTTTTTGTTTTTTGCTTTTTAAATGTAATTATGTAATAAATTGATAAATTATTTGCATAGTTATTTTCTGTTTCATTATATAATAAACATAATCATATTTAATTCATTATTATGTTAATTATTGTATGTAATATTGTATATAATATATTAATATATATTAATGTTGCTTTTAAAATTAGTTTATTAACATTTAACGTGGACGCACACAAATCGCAACGAAACATTTGCAATCTCTCGTTGGGATTTGTGTTGCATGTTTTTTTTGTTTTTTTTTTTTTGATTTTCAATTTTGATTGGGATCAGAACCAATCCATATAAATTTTTGATGTTTTCTTTCAACTAGCTTCATTTGAAGGCAACAAGGTAGAACTGCGCTACGCTTTTCACACATATTTATAAACAAGTTTAAACGTAAAACAAAATGATGAACATTATGTTTACTATATATATATATATAGGGTATATATATGGTATATGGTATATATAAATTAATTAATAGAGCTATAGCTACGCATACCAAAGACACATGTGCACATGTTTATGGATTAATATATATATATATATATATATATATATATATATGTGTATATTATATATTTAGTTAGCATTTGTCATTAACTAAAATTTAGTTTAGTTTAGTTTTTTTTGTTGTAGTTTTTAGTTTTTATTGTAACTTGGGGCGTTACAAGGATGTGCTTTATAAGGCCGCTGCGGTGCTGCATTCATTTTATAAAAAATAATATGCAAATGCCAAAATTTGCATTTCTTTATGTCTAACATTATTTTAATATTATTAATTTATTAAATATAAAATGTGTTTTTTTTTTTATAGATTGTTTTATATAATGTTTAAACTAGTTTGAATATAATTGCACAACATAAGTTCGTATAAAAAAATTAAAAGAAAAGTATATATGTATATGTATTCATATATAAAGAGAAAGAGAAATTCTTCATGCTGTTTTTTTTTCTTTTAACAAAGCCAAGTAAATAACTAAAAAACAAAAATTAACAAATTTGAAATGTTAACGGCCTCTGCTAAAAAAAAACCCGCCCTTAGCCTATACATAATCCCCAACCCCCCAAGCCACAACCTAACCCCCCCACTTAAAGCACATAAGGCACACGTAGCGCCTGGCGCTGCCTCAGGCTATTCTTTTTTGCTCAACTTTTACATTTTCTTTTGCTTTTACTCTTTCTTTAATAGTTTTCATTTTGGAATATGCGGCTCTTTGTTTATGTGTGTGTGTGTGTGGAGATTACTGCGCCGCGGCAGCGGCCGCTGCTGCCGTTGCCAGCGGCCCCAATGAGCCGCTGGACGATGATGTCGACGACGATGATGAGGTGGATAATGCATTATTGCTTGTCGCCGGCAGCGATTGATTCGAATTCTGTGCATTCAAATCTGGCGGCGTGGCTGTACCAACGGCCACGCCCAGCCCCGATTGATTTGCCAAACTCGCGGCTGCCACATTGGCGAGCGCTGTGGATGGATTCTCAATTTTATGTATGATCTTAACATGCGCCGTCATGTTATCCTTGCGCGTGAACTCCTTAAAGCAGAACGGACACGGATACACCTTGACATTGCGCTTGTGCGAGGTCACATAGTGCCGGCAAAAGTTGCTTATATGAGTGTAGACCCTGGAGCAGACCTTACAGCGATACGTATGCTCGCCCTCTTTGGTACAATAGTCGCGCACAGAGCCCTCCGTTTCGCCCTCGCCCACATTGCTGCTGAGATTGAGTTTGGTTTTGACGGTGGGCGTAACGGACATGCTGCCCGCGCCACCCGCGCTGCTGCTGCTCAGATTGGGCGTGCTGCCGCCCAACAGCTCCGATTTGAGCTTAAAGCCATCGCTGCTATTGTACAGATCTAGATATTCCTGCCCAGCGGCAAACACACTCTTAACCTCGCCATTCTGCTTGAGCTTGGGTCGCTTCTGTGCACGCGGCTTGGACGAGGAGGACGAGGCGGGCGACACCAGCGGCGTGGAGGCGGCATTCACCTTGCCAATCGGCGTTAGCTTCGGTATGCTGACCATGGACTTGCCGCCACCCGCAGCGCTGGCTATGCCAATGATGTTGAGCTTCAAACCGCCGCCGCCGCCACTGCCACCTGTTGAGGCAGCCAGCGCCGCGGTTTCCACCTGATGTTTCCGCTGTGCTGCAATGAGGAATGCCTGCTGGCGCGCCTGCTCGTTGATGTGTTGATTGTCCGCTGTTGGGTTCTGATCCTGCGTGGGTGAGCTGTCCGTTAAGGGATTATATTTAAACTCCACGGGCTCATCGTATTCATCCAGCATGAGTTGTGGCTCCATATAGGATGTATCCAGGGCGTCGCCATCGCTGTCATTGCCATCTAAAAAATGTTTATTTAATTAATAAGCTGTTGTGCTGTGATGAGTGTGTGTGTGTGTGTTTGGTGTGTTTTGTGTGTGTGTGTGTGTGTAGTATGCAAAGAAAGGCAAAAACACAAATGAACGAAGTTTCAAATCGGTTCGGAAAAGCTATAGGGATTTTCAAGCCATATTTCAACACTCTAGCAAACGCGATACGAAAACAAAATAGGTTTTTCAGCATTATCCATGAATTTTCATCATTTTGCATCAGCTGGAGCTTTTCTTTTTAGGTGTAACGTTTTTCTATTGTTGATTTTCTTGTTTACGCTTTTTGTTTTTACGCGGTTTTTTTTTGCATTTTAATTTTCAGCTACAAAATTTTGTTCAATCTTAAAACAAGTATTTGTTTTTTTTTTTTTTAATATTTATTTCAAGCGTCGGCCTTTAATCCCTGTGAGCTTCAACCCGATTATCAACTTGACTAATTATCTTTTTTTTTCTTTTCTTCTTCAGCATTTGTGGATTTGCATTTCTTTGGCATCGTACTAGCGTCTGTTTTTGTTGTTGTTGTTTTTGTTGCATTGGATACACTCACCTGGCGCTCGCAGGATGCTTCAAAAACACAAAAAAATGCGAAACTCAGCAAATGCGCGTTCATTACGAATTCGTGTACACACTACAAAATTGAACTCAACTTTTCTCACATTTTTTTTTTGATCTGCACACCGACGCGAAAACGTTTCGTTTTTCTTATCTTTTCTTTTTTTTTTAATATGAAATGCGTAAATCCCTTTTAGCTTTTCCGATAACACAATTCGAAAATGTTTTGCAAATGAGTTTTTCGAATGTTTTTCGAAAGTATTGCGAATGTTTCGTATTACGTATTTGTATTGATTTCTTGTGCTGTGTTCCTGCGTTTATTGTGATGTTAACTGATTAACTTGATAAACTGATCTGTTTGATCTTATTAATAGACTGATTGATTGATTGATTGATTGATGGTGTTTTGCTTAGGACTAGCATAATAAATGTAAAGCTTAGACTAAGGGTTAAGTAAGCAGCTTAATATTGGAAAAATCTTTCGCTTTACAATGATTTGGTTGTGCATTGTTTCATAAATGAGCATGAAATGAGAAAAACTGAAACATTTTCCACTCACCGGAAGTGCTGTTGTCGTCTTGCTGTGCCATGCGCTGATCTTTCCCGCTCTTGGATCTCTTTGTGGGCAGCGAGTCGCGGCTTTCCTGCAAAAGTGAAAAAGTGGTGAAACTCAAAGATTAGCCACGATCAACAATGAGGGCAGAAGGGGGGCACACTTACATTCAGATCGTCATTGTGCGCAGATTCTTGCTGGTTGTCATCGGAGCCATCATCGTTGCCGGAATATGACTCATTGCACAGTTTGCCATTGCCCATATCCGAGTCCTATTTTGTAAATTGATTCAAGTTAATAAAGATTCGAAACAATGCGCATCTATTAATTAATTGTACGGTCTATACCCTTGCAGCAAGTACTTTAAGTTGGTCAGGCAATTGCTTGGCAATTGAAACATTCTCATTGGCGAATGACTACTGTACTATAAGCTGCAAGGGTATTCAAACTTCGAGCTGTTATCATTTCTTTCCGCACACTTACATTCATGATGCCCTCGCGTTCAAACTCGTCGTAATCGTTGCCGGTGCCATTGGAGCTGCCGGAGAGCTTGCGGGGTCTGCCCCGTTTACGTTTGGGCATCAGGGCGGTGCTAAGCAGCGACGGCTGCTGCTGCTGGTGCTGCTGCGTGGCAGCTGCTTGAAGAGCGGCCGCTGCGGCATTGGCAGCCAGCACATTTGGCTGTTTGCGCTGCTGCGGCACCAGGTACGGCTGTATGCGTTGCAATTGGGGCGGCGCTGGGGCGCTTTCTGCTGATGTGGGCTTGTCATCGTTGACCTCGGTCAGACCCTTGATGCGTAGACTCTCGGCGACGCGCAGGAAAGCGGTGAGTCGCTCCTGATCGACAGATACCTCACCGCGATACATGAAGTCCAATAACGATTTCATGTCCGAATAGGGCACATCTTTCAATATGACAATCGGATGCTTTTCCGGATGATTGATAAACAGCGCATTGAAATATGGACTGCAGGCGGATAGCACCATCTGTCAAATACAAAAATAATGTTAGTTAAACATACTAAGTTCCAGTTGATATGCTTTAATACTAGACTAAGGCTCTCACACATTCAAATTAATATTACCTTGTGCGCCTTCAGGTATTGTCCTTCGACGGCCAGCGTCACATCTGTAAAGGTCTCCGCGTGCAGCAGCTGATCAAAGACAGATAACAGATTGCTCTGATGGTTGTTCCAGCGCAAACAAAACCGTTGAGATGCCATCTTCATTTGGAAGCCGTTTTTGGGGGTTTTTTTTGTTAATTGTCAGTTCAATCGTTCCGTTAGTTGGCGTGGAAAAAATGTGGTTCGGACAATAAATTCCTTGCCTGTGTGTTGTTTTTTACGTATTGCATGCAATTGGTAATTTCTATTTCATATAAAAATATATCCTTGACGTCCTTTTTAGTTGATTAGTTGCTTAACATTTTGACGTTAATATCAAAGAATGCTGCAAAGGAATTCAGAGATATAAAAAGAAACCAATTAGTTATGGATAATGAGAATGCGAATAAGATAGCGTTTTTATATATATACTTCAATGCTTTCATAATCACATAAGAGTGTCCAGTTGCTTAAAAACCCTGTTCTAAATTTAGAGTCCTTTTTTAACCGTATTATATGACAAAAGGATTTGGAAATGTTTAAGGGGTGGCGGGGAGCCTACATTGAGCCCGAGCCGAGCGCTGGACGCTTCGTCACTCGCTCATAAATTAAATGCAAACCAAATTTAATTTAACAGACGACCCGCCAGGTCAAATAGACAGCAAAGGTCTGAATATTATGCAGGCAGCGGCAGCTAGGCAGGCAGGCAGGAAAACAGAAAAAAAAAACTAAATGAGGAAATCTAAATGGAAATTTCAAATGTGTTTCAAATGGGCAAATTACAACAATAACGACCGCAGCAGAGCAGCAACAACAATAATACACCCACACACACACACTCACACACAGAGAGCACGCACCGATCGCAGCGCGGAGCGAGAGCCTCGACTGGCATGTGTTTGTGTGTGTGTGTGTGAGTCTTTGACTATGCTTGCCTGTTGCACGACCCAGTTGAAATGGCTAGCATGAAAAGGCACAGTGAAATTCACATGCACACAGGGAAATTTATTACTCAGGTTAAATTTCCTTTTAATATGAATGTCGAAGGTGACATAAGAGTAACTCGTTATTGCCATTGTTGCCACACATAATACACAAATTTAAATATACAACTTTTCGAAGAAATAGAATGTTTATTTAAATGTGATTTTTTAATTTCTTAATGTAAATATTAAACGTAATATTTGTCGAAAAAGGTTTTAGTCTAACATTGGATAAGCAAATTACCATATTGGTGCATTTTTACTACTGTGGCAACCTTGGGTCTTGCCTTCATTACGCACTGCTTAGTTTAAATGCTGGCATTCATTTACCATTACTATTTCAAACTATGAAAGGAAGTTTGCATACAATTTCCCAGTAATATGGATGAATTGTTTAAAGTGCTGCCGCTGCTGGCTTTTTGTGCTATTTTTCTTGTGGGACGACGTGTGTCTGTGTGAGCAGACTTGAAAACTTGCCAAAGGGTGTGGAAGCTTAGAGAAACAAATTAAAGCGAAAACACACACACACACATATGTATATATTAACGCACGTATACAGCTTTAGCAACAGGCACGTAAATTGTGTAAAGGAGAATCAGCAAAAGTTTACACAGCAGCAAAACTCATTAAATTTTCGAATAGCTGAAGTGGCAAAAGTAAAACTTGGTAGAACGCTCCAGATCCGGCATATCCAAGTAGCTGGAGACACACACACACATGCGCGCGCGCACACGTTGATAAATATTGTTCATAGCACTTATCACTTGATTCATTTTGCCTTTTTTTTTTTGCTTTTGTTGAAACTCCTTAGCATGCGAGCACACTCACAAGCGCACATACATACGCAGCACACACATACACATTCTCTGTCCGTTTTCCTTGCCCCTTGCACTTGTTGCTTATGTTTGCCAACGCGCTCTTCTTATCTTATCGCACGGCTCTGCTTTGTACACTTAATTTAAAATCATTAATTTTACAATTTCACTTGCTGTCTAATTATTACACATGCCTTTCGCTTTTTGTTTATGCTTTTGCTCATTTGCTCTTTTTCTTTTCTTATTTTCTTGATTTTTGTTATTGCAATTTTCGTAGTAATTGTTATTGTTTCGTAGTGCACTTGTTCAAATTAATTGAATGGGCTGCCAGTCACTCAAACTAAAATCTCAGAGAGCGCGAGAGTGAGCGTTAGGCACTTGCCGCATATTTCTACATAAAAACATTGCCGCTCTTTTACACGCACACACACGCACGCACACAAACACAACAGCGAATGGCAGCAGAGAGCTTTTGAAGTTCCATCGCAGCTTTTGCAGCAGTAAAAAAAATTTGCTTCGCTGATCTAGCGCAGTGGCATTAATAAATAGTTTTTGTTTGTGCGCTTTCATATGTACGTGCATACATTTGTTATAAAAAAAAATTTGTGTTGAATTTATTGTTTGTAAATATTGAACTTTTCAAAACAAGTGAACTTCTTACATTATGCACAATGATAACTATTTAGTTTATTCTGCTGAGTTTTAAGTTATGCTTGCCGCTGACACGTCCTCACTTGAGCGGGCCTCACGAGCGAATGAGCGAAGTCAAAACGAATAAAATGAACAAGTCAAAGTCCTCGCGCAGGAAGCCGACTGCGCAGCCCCGACACGCACGCACGCACACACATGCATACACACACACACACACGGATAGGGCGCATGATAAGCGCTCGTTGCTAAGGGGTGGGAGGCGGGCCTGCGGAGATCACTTTACATGCGCTTATTTTTACACCCCCTTGCGATGGCAGCAGCAGTACACACACAGTCATGCAAACATATACATATGTATGTAAGTTATATGTTTGTATATGTATGTGTATTTTCAGGCACTTTTGGGACATGCGCGACTTTTGATTCAATGGGGGCGGCTGGCATTGGCAATATAATTTTCACGTATTTCACAATTCTTTCTTTATGCACCTTTCTTTACTGGCTTCCGTTAACTGCTGACGCCTGCAGTTTTCCTTTGCTTAACTTTTACTTTTATGTTTTTGCACGTTTTGTTTAATTTGTCGGTGCCCAAAATTTCCAAACGGAAATTTTCACAATTTGGTGCGAGTGAGAGAGATAGAGTGGGAGAGGGGGCGCGACCGAACGAACGAGCGAAACGCAATGAAAATCTCTCTGCCGCCAAATTCGTCCGTCTCGTTTGACACCAATACACTGACTGAGCGATCCTCGGCTCCTAAACGACGAGCCAAGCGACGACCGAGGCCTCTGCTGCTGCTGCCGCTGTTGCTGCTTCTTCTTCTTCTACTTGCCCGCTTATTAGCTTCTTGCTACACACACATAGACAGCAATCCTACATCCGTCGGTCGCAGTTGTGTTGTGCGCCAGCTGCGCTGCCAGCAGCGCAGTCAACGTTACGCTCTCACAAAAGGAACGAACAGTTGATCGCCGAGTCCCCAAGTCTCCAAAATGACGCTCTCTCTCTCTCTCTTTGTTTCTCTACACTTGTGTTGTTTTCGCTGCGCTCGCTCTCGCGCAGTCAGACGTCGGTCCGCTGCTTGCGCCTTTGACTTTTTGAATTTTTAATTTCCCTTGCACGCGATGGGGCCTGCGAGGAGGAGGAGGGGACGGACGAACGGACGTGCCGACAACGTTGACGAAACGGGGTTAAAAAGAAAAACATGATGGAAAAAGAAAAAGCTAGAAACAACTTTGGGTGCCGTGCCGCAGCAGCCGTTTTTGTTGCCCTCCATCTTCCTCTCTCTTTCTGTGTGCTTGTAATTGTAAGGGCAATAGGCGGCACTTGGGTTGGGCGGCCATCGGGCTGGTCTGGGGTTGGGCCGCAGCCGCTGTCAATGCCTTTGGTTTTTCCAACTGTGTGTGTGTGGTTGGCTTGGCTTGGCTTGCGGCAATTGGAAAAACATGTGGAAACTTGAGCCAGCGACGCAGGCGTCATACAAAAAAAAAAACAAAAAACTTAAATTGTGTGTGTGTACGTACGTGTGTGCATTTGAAGGAGCGTTTGTGTGTAGGCGCTTGTGTTGGTGCGGTATTACGTAAGCAACTGTAAATTCTACAAGTGAAGCGTACAGGCGAATGACGAATTTTCAAATTGGAATCCTATAAGCGCTGCGCAATTGGATTTTGTTGTTTAGATATTGTTTGCTAGCAGCTTTTAAGCTGCCAAATGTTGTTTTACCTCTCTCTTTCTACGCTGATCCTACACACCTACATACTTGGTTGATGTTGTTGTTTTGGGTTTTGTCTATTCTATACTCTAGGCGTAACGGTGCCCGCCTCTGCCCTTACCTAATGCTCTTACAACGGAAGCGAGCGCTTTGCCTAATAGGCTCTCTCTCATACACAGGCGCACCTAGGCGAAGATCCATGCACACAAACACACACACACATACACTCAGCGCCCCAACCCAGGTGAAATAGCAACAAATACAAATACATGTATGCTTAAGTGTGCGTGTGTGTGTGCGTGTACATACAGACTTACAACAACAACAAGGTAGCCACTGAATCGTAAATTCCTGTTGCTGGCTCAGCTCAGTTCGCTGCTGACGTCGCTGCTGCTGCCGCTAGCACTGCTGTTGTTTGCCTTGCCCTATTGCGTGTTGTTGGTTGGTTTTTTTTGCAGTCTGTTTAACTTTTTCTACTTTTGAGTTGTTGTTTTTCTGGTGGAGCTTTACCACGAACGATCGCAGTGCTGCTGCCCATTGTTACTATTTTTTTATTGTTGTTCTACTTAGTCGCTGATCTAATATGTGTGTGTGTTTGTCTGCGAGTGTGTGTTTGTATGTAAATGTAAACGCTCTAACTTCCTCTTTAGCTCCTGCTTTTCCATGTACTAAAACCTTGAGAGCAGTTTCTTTATGTAAAGCTTCACTAAGCTGTTTTAGTGGTAGCTGTTTAAGACTTTTAAGGGCAGAGCAGAGCTTTTAAGAGCAGCACGCTAATAGGACTTACATGAATTTTCCCCTAAAATATATGCGCTCACAAAGTGTTACTCAATATTTTAAGCCCAAAAGTAGGTTGATGCTTTGCCTACAGTTGTTGTTATTGTTGTTGTCTATTTTTTATGTGGGGGCTGCTGCGTGACACTTGGGACACACATGGCCCACACAGTCGCACATCGCCCCCACAATCAAAAGCCGATCAGTGTTGTCGTGCGGCGACGACGGCAGCGGCGGCGGCCCAGCGCAGGCTGGCTGTGACCGCGCCGTCATGGAGCTTGCGCTGTTCTCTTAATGTGTGCGTGTGTGTGTGTGAGAAAGAGAGCGCTGCGTTGGAAGCTCTCAGGGTCTGTTTGATTTCCTACAGCGCTGTTGGCTGTGTAAACAGAAAAAAACAAGAATGCTCTAGTCAAGTGAATGCGACTAGGAGTTACCCTGTTAAATCTTCGATTAACTGTAAAAAGATAAAAGGATAACTTGAGTTATCGTTAACGATAGTTGAAAGTCAACTTTCTGCCATATTCGATATATTAGGCCCTTATGAAGGGATTGTGGGGATCGATTCGCTGATGCTCGCCAATAATATTAAGGATGCCTCCTGTTGCCTGTAATATACATATACCCATTTTTGCTAACCATTGTCAATGGGCACAGGGTATACAAAAACACGAGTGAATGAGTTGGCTGCGCGCGACAAAAGCATTAGACGAACATGTCCATATCCATATGTGTATATATATATATATATATATATATGTGTGTGTGTGTGTGTGTGTGTGTATGCGTATGTGTGTGGTAGCCAACTGTTGATGACTGCGGCAACTGACTAACTGGCAGGGTTCTGCTGCCGCTGCTTCTGCTGCTGGCGCTGCTGCCGTCACGCGGAACAGGTATCGCAGGTTGGCACCAAACACATGTACCGCCAGTCAGCCAGTCAGCACGCCCCTCCGCCCCAAGCAGCGACTGCTCCAAGCTTCGACGATCGTTTCGTCTCGTCTCGTCTCGACGTCGGCGGCGTCGTCGTCGTCGTCGTCGTCGTCGTCGCTGTGGCCCGCTAACCGCCAACTGTTTCTGGCTCTGGTTCCTCGATTGCTCTATGATTTTCTAATGCTTCCTCCGCCCAGCGCTCCTCCAGCGACAATTTGTTGACTGATTGTGTGAGCCGTTTGGCTCTTAACACATACAGATACAGACACAAACACACACCGACACCTATGTACATTAATTTTTTTCTCGTCTTCGTTTCGTTTTCTAACGTCGACGTTCGTCATAAAGTCCCGTTGTTGTTGTTGTTGTTTTTGTTGTTGTCGCTTTTTACCTCATTCGCGTTGGCTTTGGTGCGCAAGTGTAGAAATTCCTTTGCACGTAGGCAAAGTGGTAGCAACAACAACAATGGCAGAAACAAAAAGCTTGCCTCAAAACAAAAAAAAGGTCGCCACGTAAGCAGCAGCCCCCATTTACACACATCCACATGCATGCATACATATGTATGTGAACATATGTATGTATGGGCTTGTGGGCCGCCCAATGCCAGAGCATAACAAAACACATGTACATACATATATATATTAGTGTAGACTTGCATACATACTAACAAAGTCCTAAGCTCGCAATGAAAGCTCTAAGCGCTGTCCATTGGGCCGAAACTGTCATTGAAATGTAACTGCGTGGGACACACACACACACACACACAAACACACATGTTTATGACTGTGTAAAATGGAGAAATTTAATAATAGACCCCAAAATGCAGCACAGATCAGCGCCGATGTCGCACAGTGGCCGCCAACATAAGCAACAATGTGTGCACAACTTTGAAGTTCCTTGGGTACATTTTGTGGTTTCTCAAAGCACACAAAAGAACGTATTTGTTTAGAAATGAGCATGCACGACTACCAGTTGCCCTGCAATAGGAATTAAACTGAATAATATTGGGGCTATATTTGAAATATTAATATAAGTTCGTTTTTCACATTATAATTTGCAGTTGAAACTTTTCCAAAAAAAAACGTGGAGACATACCACTGTCGCGGCCCTCTGCTTTGGCATGTAAAGTTTTTATTGCTTTGTTTGGTTTTTTATGCTAGTTCCATTTGTGGAGGAGTTAAATTAACTAGCCCAAGCTGTGGGCCCTGTAACGGCCGCTGGTCTAGGGCTAAGGGAACGACAATGGGCGTGTCGAGTGGACGAGTCGAGTGTTGTAAACAGCAAAAACTCGTTACAGGCGGCTGCCGCTTCAGTGAGCCCCACTTGACGATCGGCGACTGGCAACTGGCAACTGGCAACTGGATCGTCGACTGATTTGTTAGCTGTTGGCCAACTGTCGATGGCTGGTGGCCAACTTTGGGTATGCCAATAGCGAGGCTCGATTACAACATGAATACCGTATGCAATGCATATGCATACACTGTCCAAAATTTAAATCTATAAACCAATAAGTGGTCAATATAAAATAGATCCTGATTGGTTATTAATATAAAAGCTAAATTATTATCATTAAAAACATAGTTAAAAGTCAAACAATATTTTATTAAATATAAAGTATTAATAAAAACTTTGTTCTGATATTAACTTTAACGGACGTCGAACCGGGGGCAACTCGTTTGCCAGGCGAAACCCTTATCACAGAGCTGCACGTGGTTTGCGCCCATCTTCAACTAAAATTGAATCTTCAATTGAAGAGCGCTGTTTAAAATTTCGAGCTGCTGAGAATTTGATTCATATAGTTGACTATCTTAAGTTGTGAACAATTGTAAAATTAAATCGAATGCCAAAAAAGGTTTACATTTAAAAGACAAGAAGAAACTAAACTTCGATTTTGTACAGTGTATGTATTTATGGCTGTAGTTTCGCTGACATTTTGTCAACCATAAAATGCTGTAGACACACACACACACACACGCACATTGGGCCAGTTGCTGTTGTTTGAGAGAAGGGCGCTTCTTTCAGCCAGTTGCCCCAACAGCTCGGCGACTCCATGTGGCCTGTCAGTATTATTGATCTATGCGTTGTTTTTGTGCCAGCTTCACGCCGCGGCCCACACAACTGTGTCCGTCCCCCCGATGCCTTGCGAGCTTTTCTTTTCTTTTTTTTTTTTGTTATGGTGTTGTCCTTAATTTAGACATGGAAATGCGGGTCATGCATTCGATGTGCGTTCACCATAGAGAATGGCAGAGAACGAGCAGAGGGGGCGGAGGCAAGTTTGACATAGTTCAGCAAACACGGCACAAAAAGAGCGTTAAATATTGGAATAAAGATCGTAACAGATGCGTGTTACATCATATATGTGCATGTGTATATAATATTCTGCTCAATGTAAGAACTGGGAAGTTAAAGTTCTTCATAGCATCCACTTATGTGTGCGCTTAAATTATATTTTTAACATTTTCACCACCAAGCGTGGAATATGATTGTAAAACATGTGTATATAATATTCTGATCAATGTTAGAACTGGGAAGTTAAAGTTGTTAAATTATATTTTTAAAATTTTCACAACCGAACGTGGAATATGAGTGTAAAACTGTTGTAACATTATTTGAAAAATTAAAAGAGGAAGATAATTATCATCATCAGTTATCATCTGATTCGCTTTTAATTCATTTTTGAGGCTGCCCCACAAAAAAAATGGTGAATACATTTCTGAGCTATTTTGCAGAATGCACCTCAAATTGTTCCCTTTTAAGCAGTAATTATATTTTATGCATATCATTTTGTATTTTATCATTTAAGTACATGCTAAAAATGTATTGCAAGAAATCTAATTTTTTGAATTCCTGTAATGTAGTTCTAATTTTCTCATGGCGATGCGCTCCTTTGATGCTATGTGAAGTCGCGACACTCGGTCTTTGGTCTGTATTTCAAAATATCTTAGATCCAATTCCTTTTCCCGCAGGCGCAGCTCCAAAATGCGAATATCCTGCTGTGAGAGCGGTTTACGATGAACTATAACTCCTTCCGATGCGACGAGTTTCCCGGAGGGACGGTCCTCGGGTTGCTTCTTAATTTCAATTGATGTGGATGCCGCCGCTGTATCGTCTGGTTGAGTAATTTCCTTGGTTTCAGCCATTTCCACATTATCGCGTTCGGTGATTTCGCTCTTTGGAGTGATTGTGCTGAGCTGCAGCGGCTTATGGAAGATTTCGTGCAATTCCTTGTAGTACGGACACATTCGTAGTACTTCCGACATAGGAAAATTCGTATTGACATCTATCAGAGTTTTCGCGTTCTTATACGTTTTTACAATTTGCTTGACTTTGGATCGAATTACGTTCGCTTCGAAGTCAAACATAAAGCATTTCGACAACTTTCTGTAAAAGTCTAAACTGTTGGGCTGCTCGTAAGGATTTTTCCGCAAGAAGTTAAGTAACTTTTTAAACTTGCTGGGTGTCCATTTGGTTGGCCTTTTATGTTTCATACCAGTTGGTTTCGACATTTTATATTTATTTTCTTGCTGTTGCTGTTGCTGCTGCGTCCACAGCTGCGAATCGACAGTTTGGTGCAAAGGCAAAGCGCGTCCTTTTTATAGCGTGAATTGGCGAAATTTACCTGTCTTGTGCGTTGGCTTGCCTGCGAAGTAGATTTAGATTTTGGTAGACTTGAGTGACTTATTGGGCAATGCCTACTCCTTGTCAGGCAGGGTATACATATGCATGCAAGGCTTTTATGATCCTTAAGATATCGGCGCAGCTGTTTGATGATCGTTTTGCGTTGGATTTGGCATATAAATACGGCTTACCTGGTATATGGGCATTTCCACAGAAAGGGCCGCCAGGGCGCATTAGGTAATAATTTCTTGTTATGTAGAGATTTGAAAATGAATTTGATGAATTTCAAACCTCGTGCTATTTTCATTCAAAAAGAGTGGATATTTCGAAAAGTGTGGAACACGTCTCAAATGAACTGTCATTAAAATCCTTGAAAATATGTTTCAAGTCAAATCTTCACCTACCAAATCTTTGACTCGAATTTTCCATCCAACAGAGGGAAAATTGCGAAACGTGTAAAATGCCTCTCAAATTCATTTGTACAAAGATCTTTAATAATAGTTTGGAGGCCGATCGGATGGAAAGCAAAAGTTTCATACATCCGCGCTTTTCCACATTTGCGGGTGTAAATTCCCTAAACCACTTTCTGGTTCTTACAGTTTTAACTGTGGTTTGATCACCAGTCCCCTTCAGTGTTATTTAAAACCAGCATTAGCATTAATAAATAATCCACCTACATGGGCGGATAATAGGTGGAAGGGAGAAAACCACTTAACCCACCTCAGGTAATGCCAGTTAATTGCCAGTCAATTCTCAGGTGTAAGCTGTTGAAGTAGCTTCTGGTTGAGTAATTTTCCCCATTTCTAAATGTAACGATGTATTTTATGATTTTGGGAATGCTTTATGCACTTCCGTGTAGAACAGATTTCTAGTGCTTCCGATAATGGAAATTCCGTATGAAATCTATCAGAGTTTTAGTGTTTAGATTATACAAATTCACTATTTCAAATTCACTATTTTTTCTTGTCTTTTCTATTTTTATTTTTATTTAATGTTTAATACGATCAGGTAATGAGCCAAAACCGATTGAAATATATTAAATATTAATAAATAAAAATGCTTAACAGGAATTATAGCGAATAACAGCTGAAGAAGTGTTATTCTTATGGGCGCTGTTATGTTTTGATGTTAAGTAACATTTGCCGTTTATTTGCTCAACTTTAACAGCCGTGTGACAGAGTATGGAGGGGGGTGAAGGTTGTGCTTTGATGAAATCAAATTTTTTTGTGGTTTTTTTAACCCGCAGCGCTGATAACGTGCGCTTTAAGGAAGCTCACACATACACTGGTATGTGCAACTGTATTGTTTACATTCATGCACGCTTGATACAGGCATGAAAGATAAAAGCCACTCGCAACTGCAACTCATGAGCAAAGAATTTTGCTGTGAATTGAAATGAGCAACAAAAAATGCCTTTAGCTAGGAACAGGAGAGCGCACGATCTTAAAAGCTTCATCCACTGCGACCAGCATTGATAGCAACCGGCCAGAGCGGGAGTGAGCAATAGAAAGCCAATTTGTGGAGAGCGTCTCGCGCTCTCACGCGCACCGGAAAGCGACATATTTAATTACATACATTTTTTTGGGATTGCCAATGACGCAAAGCTGCGCACACACACAATATTTAACGAGTTTGAGTGTATGTGCCGCTTCCTTGCGTTGTGCATGGCAATTAGAAATGTATATTTTTAAAAAGCTGACCCAAATACAGCGTCCAGCAAGAAATCCTCTGGAAAGCATACATGCGTGTAAATACAGAAGCACACACATTTCTATACTCATGAGTGTAGAGTTTTATTAAAACAGCTGCGTGCGCGGCCGCCGGCATGTCCACCCGCACCGCCCAACTGTGAACGAGGCGAACATGAGGATCGTTCGGCCCGGCAGCAGCAACAACAAACAAAAGAAACGGCAGAGACAGCGACTATTGAAATAAAAGAACGCAGCAGCGTTCGCTGCTTTCTCTTCGTGCGTTGGGGTTGGCGCTGGGGGCGAATTGACGACGTCGCGACGCGTCGTTGTCGCTGCCTGCGTGTATATTTTTTTATTCTCCTTATTGCTCTCCTGGCGCGTTTGCGTATGCTTGTATGTGAATGTGTGTGCTACGCCTGTGTATGTGTTTGTGCAATCGACGTTTGGCCCCTTGATAAAATTGTGTATGCCTGCCGTTCGCTGCTCTGCTCCACCTTAGCTGCAGCCGCAGCCGCAGTCGCAGTCACCACCAACAGTCGCGCACTCAATTAAGCTTATCGCGCACTGTGCGTGCGTGTGTGTGTATGCGTGCGCCTGTGTTGGGGATATGTATTTGCGCTGAGTGCTTTAGAGGTGACTTTCCTCTTGTGCGCGCTCCTTGACGGCTGAGAAAAAAAGTTGCTTGTTTCAGTTTGTTTGTCTGCCTGTCAGTCTGTCTGTGTGTGTGTGTGTGTGAGTGTGAGTGTGTTGGTGTCGTGTGCAAAAGGCAGCGACGCAGCGTTAAAAATCCTCTTTGAGAGGATTAAATATACAACACACAGCTTTTGCTTATTGTCATGTGCTCTTTGCTTTGTGCGTGGTGCACAGTGTCACAAATATGTTTTGCTTAGCATAAAAACCAAAATAGTTGGGCATCCTAACTGACATTCCGTTTGTCAACCACTGTGTCTCTACGCCCTCCAACTACACAGTTGTCACTGTTCCATAAACGGACAATGTCCCCTGGCAAGAGCTTAAGGGTAGCAGCGACAGCAGCAGCGACAGCGACGCTTTCAATTACATTTCATTTGCATTTCGTAGTTGCTTATTTTTATACGTTTGTGTGTGTTTATTTTTGCTGATATTGCCTTTTTCTGCCCAGGCACATACACACACACACACACACACACACACACACACACACACACACACACACACACACATGGATAAGTCCTCAGTGCTTTTTCGCCGTTGCTTTGACCAATCGCATGCAAAATAGGAAACAATTTTTTCGCCTTGCCACAACTGGGCGAATACTTGACGCGGACATTGGACATTGAGCTGGGTCGACAGTGACGCCGGCGGCGTTAATTGAATTAAAGCGCTTACAAAATAAATAGGCTTCAGACGGATGCGCGCAACTCTCGCTCTCTCTATTGCTTTCTCTCTCTCAGTCTCTCTTTATCTCGTTTGCTGTTTATTAGCTTAGCAAAGCTTTGGCTGGTCACGTGCATGTTGAAATCCTTTTGGCAGACGCTGCACATTTTGACTTTTATCCCACTTCCTTTGCTAAAAAAAGCGAAGAAGCAGCGAAAAGTTTGAAGAAATTCGAAAATGTTGTTCGTCGTTTTGTTGCTATCACTTCGCTTGCTTTTTGCTACATTCTTTTCTGCTCGAAGCTTTACTTTTGTTGTTGTTTTTGTTGGTTTTGCTCAATTGCAAAACATATTTTGGTCACTGACCTTTTCTTTTATTTTGCCTGCTTTTAGACTCTTTTTTTGTTGTTTGTGTTCCACTTTTTGAATTCCGCTTTTGCCGTTGATGTTTTTGTAGCTGTAGCTTTTCCTTGGGGCGAGCTACTGTTGAGCAACTGTTGAGCCGAGGGCTAATAACGCACACAAACAATTGCATAAAACCTTAAGAAACCATGCGTATTGATGTGAGTGTATGTGTTTGTGTGAGTGCCACAAGTTGATGAGCTGCTTGAGATAAAAGCGCAGCACGTCAAGTGATAAAAATCAGAGAAGCATTCAGCAACAACAATGCAAAAATAACTAAGGAATTCAGCCGAAAGGAAAAAATGAAAATAAAAAGTAGCAGCAGAAGCAACTGATATGGCAATATTCTGGGTTTAAAGAGCATTGTAAATAATATTCTGTTGTTGGCCATTTTTGTTTTTGGCTCTTTTGAGGGAATTTCTGAAGGCAGAGCCTTACAGCGGCGATGACTTAAATAAATGAAGGCAAACAATAACTAAAAGAAATGATCAAATTAGGTAGCGAGCGCATTGTGCGGAATTTATGAATAATTTTGTTTTTTGTATAAATAAATTCGGTATATTGTAGCTTAAGCAACACATGCGGCAAAAAAATCCCTGCAGCACCTAGAAAAAGTCCCGGGCAAGAGTTGTGGAGTTGCCAGGAGAGCAAGTATGCATGTTTGCATGGTGTGTGTGTGTGTGGGTGGCTGCGCAAGTGACTAGCGTTTGTTTTAGTTTACAGTTTTCTTGTTTCTGTTTGGGTGCTGCAACAGGCACCTAAACAGTAGCAGCAGCAACAGTTGAAAAGTGTTAGTCATGCTGGTGCGACTGTGTTTTGCGCTCTCTTTAATTGCTCGCGATCACCGGCTGAACAACAGTTATAATTTGAGAATCATTTTTTGCGCGTGAGCGCAAGTTGAGCGCTGTTGAAAAGCTCGGCCAGAGAAAGAGAGAGAGAGAGACACAGTTCCACGGCGCTATTATTGTTTTTGCTGCTGCTCTGTTTCATTAACAAAACAACAGCAATATTTATGTGTGATTAGTTGAGCGGTTGTTATTATTGTTGTTGTTTGAGTGGGTTTCCTTTGCGCTTGCTGCATACACACATACATGTGTATGTGTGCGTGTGTGTGTGAAGTAGGTTAAGCTGACAAAAAGCAAATCGAGATTGGAGATTGGGATTTGTTTTTTTTTTTTTTTTTTAAATTTTAATGTGATTTGCATAATTTGTGTGTGTGGCCCAAACGCACAGGTGTTGTAGCTGGTCGTGCGCCAGGGTTGTCATGACGCCGCAGCGGAAGTGATGACGACGCCGCTGCTGGGAATTGCACTAGGAGCTATCAAGTCATTACACAGAGAGCGAGTGAGACAGTGAAAGAGAGAGGGGGAGGTGTATTAATGCTTATTCGAATGTACATATGCATGTATTTATGCTGCTTAAAGCATGGATCGCGCGCTCGCACTCGCTCAGTTCATTCAGAAATTACGCGCTGTTGTGTGTTCATACCCTGCACCTATTGAGAATGGGGTGGATGTGTGTCTGTTGTATAATTTAATAAGAGCAAGTCTTTATTTAAATTTCGTTTATGAGCATTTTTTGAAAATTACAATAGCTATTACTTACAATAATGTTTTCGTAAAGCGACTAGCTGTCGCATTATTATAGTAATATCTACAGATCAAGAGATTTCAGTTTTCCTCCCAGCGAAAAAAAAAGAAAAAAAATTGTTTTAATCATTTGACTTTTTGTATATACGCACACATAAATTCCATCTATGAGTTCTGCAAATTTCATAACAATCGCACAATAAACACCCAAGTTCCTAGAGAATGCAGTTTCCATATTGCGCAAAGCGCGCAGCTTATGTTTGCGTGTGTGTATGTATGCATGTATGCATGTGTGTATGTCTCCTATGAATTTATTCGAAGGCAATTTGGAGCTGTGTGCAGGGTATCGGCTAGTCGAACATTCCCGGCTATAGTACCGTTGTTTTTGCTATTGTGTATACACATGGACTCACAGGCCCAGGCAATGGAATGTGTCAGCCAGCTACTGCACGCGAATTGGGGATCTATTAGATTGCTCCCCAGTTGCCCCATCCCGCGACCTCGCCCATCGCTTGTAGCGCAAAAGGGGTGCGGCCGAACTGACTGTCGACGATTGACGAGCGCGGGCTGGGCTAGCCGAACCGCCGAACCGTTTTCAATTGCGATCCGATCCGATCCGATTCGGATGCGATTCGGAACGTTGTTTGGGATTGGGTCGACTCGTTTGTTGGTTGTGTGCAGTAACGAATTGTGTGTTGGAAAACAAAAAGGAAATGGGAGACGGAAAATGACAAAGATCACTGAAGCAAAACCGAAAAGCAACAACAAACCAATTTGTATCTATGTATCTATGCATCTTTGTATCTATATAAAATGCACAACTACTTGTTTGTGCTATGAGATACAATATGCCCGACTGCCTTCGCTGTGTATTACAAATGGATGGAAAACAATTCGTCAGAGGCATTTGTTGGCATGGATTTAAATATTTCTCTACTTCTTCCACTTTGACTTAGACTTAAACTTCAACTTGATTTAAAATCTATATCCATGACTCAAGTTCATCTTAAGGACTATGTATAGATACATATAAATGATAAATGATTTAAAAAAGCAACTATTAAAAAATTTACATTTGTAAGAGTGCGTATTTTTCAAAGAAAGTCAAAAGATATTATTTGAGAATCCTATAAAGAGATTCGTTAATCGCTTCGCAAATTGTAAGACTTCGGCTCCAGACCCATTCTGTCTTTAATTTCTAGATATCGGTTATTGTTTAAAATATTATATGAACAATTTCTTTTTTTTTTCCATATTTTTTTGAAAAATTTTATTTTTTTTTTTCGATTAATCAGATTTTAATATCGCATTTTATTAAATTAAATATTATTAAGAGATTCAAGGAATAATGATCAAAATATAATATTATCATAATATGAAATTTAGACATAAAAAGTTGTATTAAAATACCGATTTGAACATTAGAACAATTATCTTTCTTAAAAGTTATCATTTCCAAGCTACCAAATATTGGAAGTTGTATATTTATAACATATATTAGAGGAAAGTTTAAAATATATATGTTGCCTTTTTATGAGAGTATTTATTTACTATTTATATGTTCATTTGAATCCAGAGACCCTGTAGAGAGTATAGATACATATATGTACTTATTAGCATGTCATAAATTAATTCTCAATTTGCGAATCTGCAACTACTCAAAACTTGGAAATTAAAACATAAAACTTCCCTTAAGAACTTGCCCCATTCTATTTTGCACAATCACGGCACATGAAAATACGTTCTAGATACAAATTTCGATTTTAAAGTTGAAGTTGAAATACAAGTACGCGCGATTGTCTGAAGAAATTCTACGAAAAACCCCAGAGATCCACATGTTGGAGACCTGTTCGACTCTACATAGAGAGGTGCAAAGGTGCAAAGGTGGATGGGGCCAAAAGTTTGGTTAGGTCGGGTAGGGTCGGGTCGGGTCTGGTGACTTATTTGGTGTAACATATTCATTCATACATTTGTATGTAATATAACTGTTTGTTGCATCTTTTCTATACACCATAAATAGATACATACATATGTATGTATGTATAACTAAGCACTTACCGTTTCTTGGAAGCTTTAGTAATCCGCTCTCTGTTGTCTTTTTCTTGTTCTTCTTGTTGTTGTTTTTCTAGGCGATGGAAAGTTTTTGCTAAAATAACTGAAAGCACAAACACTTGAGGCACTGTTTCAGATTGGTTTTCTTTAATGCTCCGTTATACTTTGTATTCTTCTTCGTTATTCTTTTGTTATTGCAAAAAGCATAGTCAAGAGTTGCAACAGTTGTGAATAAGTTGAAAACGGAATTGAAATTGGAAAATAACTTAATACAATTCACAGCTGAGCTGAGCAATTGCCGCGTGCAAGCAACGGCGGCGCACGAATCTCCAATCAGAACTGAAACGTAGGGATGTCGACGCAGACGCCGTCGCCGTGTTGTCGTTGTCCCTGAATGTTAATATTTGTTGCTGTCGCTGCTGCTGCTGCCGCTGCCAGCGTCGCGACGACGTCGGGCACGAACGAGAGCACGATCACGAAAACCGAACTGTTAGCGGACAGGGCGGCAGATTTAGGCTGTCGGTTAGGGGTGGGGCGGCGGTTGGGCGGAAGAGTTGGTTGGAGCCGATGTGCGCCTTAGTATGTGTTCAAGTGTAGAAATGAGCGTGTGTGTGTGTGGGTTTCGAGGGGCTGCCACGACGACGAACACGCGCGCCTGTTTTACGACGTTTGTTGGTGTTGGTATCGATGTCGTCGCCGCTGGGTGGATAATAATATCGTCGTCTACGCTCTGCTCCCGTTTCGTGTTATTGTAATGGCGGCTTTCAAATGTGATAAATAGCCGAGTGTTTGTGTGTGTGTGCGTGTGTGAAGCCGAGTCGCAGCCTTCGTGTGCGCTAGAAACCGAAAGAAAAAAAACGTTAAGTGGGATGTTGACGGACGCGGACGAGCGGATGAAATGGAATGAGCGTTTGAATTGGCTTGGCGGCCAGTAAAACCAGCCAAAGTGCTAAAGCGCCGCAGTCGGCCCAGAGCAAATAAAGAGTGAGAGAGCGAGAGCAAAAGAGCAAGCGTAGCAGCCAGCAACATTGACATTTTGACTTGCCGCTCACTAATACAATGACATGGCGCAGTGAACAGCAACAGCGGCAGTCGCTGCTGCGTTGGCGCTCTTCTCTGGCGCTCGCCCTTTACGCTCTTGACTCTACACACTTAAGCGCGCGCTCTCTCTCTCTCTCTGGCCTGATAAGCGCATGTCGAAATCAAGTGAGCGCCAGCTAGCAGCCGCGCAATGCTCACCACTTTGGCTTCCTCTTGCTTGTTCGATGTGACTTGCTATTGCCGCGCTGCGCGCCTCTGCCCCATGTATCTTCATGCTGTCGCTGCCTCAGCGTATTACGAAATATGACAACAATGCAGTTTTGTGGCAGTGCTCGTCTGCTCGTCCTCGTTTCGCTCTGCCGCTGCCGACGTTGCTTCTTCTTGGTTAGTAGTTACTGCATGCTCAGCATAAAACTGTGCTCTCACGCTCTCCACGTTGCGCTCTCTCTCGCTCTCACTCTCTTTGCAAGTGGGTGGCTCTTTGCTTGTTGCTCTGTTTGTTTATTTATTCTCGCATCACTTGCAAATTGATTGCATCTCGATGAAGTTTTTTTTGCTCAACAAACTACATAAGCTATAAATAGTAACAGGGAAATTTTCTAACGTGGCGCATTCCGCCACATCTATTTTATAAATGCCATCCCATTATAAAAAAACGGGTTTTCGATCAGAACGCGTGCCCCGCTAGCTGGCGCGCGTCTAACTGAAACCGAAATCAAATTGACTTTTCCCCGCTTCACACTTGAGCTTAATTTTATGTGCATACAAATTTTACAAACGGGGGAACCCTAAGTCCCTACCTTGCCGGCCGAGTCTGTCGGGGCCCGCAACAAATGGTAATTCAATATTTTAATACATTTCGGGGCGTTACCCAAAACAGATTGCAAGGCCTTAGATAACGCAAGGATCATTAACGGATCGTTTATCAAAATGCATGAAAACTCCTTTGGGAATTTAGGTATACCCATTGAAAGTAGGTAGCAAAGGGGTATAATGGTTCTGGATATTGTATTCTGTATCTGAAAGAGACATCTCAGACACAATATAGTGTATTTTGTTAAGAAGAAAGCTTATATCTTTTTCGATGCTTCGCCATTTTCGTATTATCGATAAATCTAAGTTTTCAGCCGCTCGAGAATTATAAAAGCCTTAGACACCAAATTTTGTATGTAGTTTCTCGTTTAGTATACACACATCAGGAATATCTCACTTTTTGTGTAGTTCTCTCCCCTAAGCTGAAGAGCTATATTTTTAAGCTTTGGTATTGACAAGCATTTGGTACCACATTTAAACCCTTCCTTATAGATCCAACAAAAAACTGGGAATTCATTCAGTTATAAAGGATATTTTCAAAGTGTGGGGCTGAGGGAAGAAGCTTACGGAAATTTGTAGCTTTGTACAGGACATCTTATAATTAAGTATTCTCGATTTTTTTTAGGCTCTAAATGATCTAAGGCCCTTTCCTCCAAATGATAACATACTATATATTTTTGACGTTGCTTTAATAAAGGGAATTGAGCTTATATTTATTATCTTCTTGGCTTGGCTTTAATTCACAGAATTCTAGTTTAGAGACTAATGTAATAGCAAACCGGTTTCAATAGTAATATAATATATAATTTGGACTTGGGTACAGTCCATGGAATTTAACTTCTAGTTAAGATATTTGCACTCCATTAAAAGATGATTATTTATTATGTATTTCGTCATGATCTGACAATAAGTCTGACAACTAGCAAATGAATCATTTGAGTGAAGATGAATCATTCGATTCGTCAGAAAGGGCGTTTCTAGTTCGTAGCCCAGACACCCTGTATTTAATTGTCTATCAAGCGTTGGACGCTACACGTTAAAAATTGTGTATTTATAAAAACAAAGACGATTTCAAAATTGGTATCTGCTAGTTTCGAAAAAGTATATAAAATTATATGTATTTCTATTTGATATTGAAGTAATAAAATCTAAAAAAAAAACAAAAGGATTTATAGCCGGAAGGGCTAGATAATATTTTATTGAATATTTATAAAAAAAAAAAGTAGAAAAAAAAATAAATCTAACGGGCGTCGAACCGAGGACCTCCCATTTGTTAGCCGTGCGCCTTCCACTGAACGAATCCTGCTTTCTAAACGGCAACTAAACTTATAATATAAGATAAAAAGAGAGAGAGGGAGAGATTAGAGATTTTGTGTAGAATGAATTTCAATTTTGGGTTTCTCCAATCCTGAAATTAAAATTAATTCAAAAGGAATTCATATTAAATTCAGGAAAAATTACATAAAATTGTAAGCAAAAATAATCTTAATTAAGAACAAAATGAAATTTAAGTTCTTACATTTAATTTTATATAAATTTTTAAGAAAGGTAAGATATAAATTTGGGTCTATTTCAATGTAAAAAAAAATATAAAAATAGTGTTTCTGCATTTACTGTATAATAACGAGATTTGGATCACTTCATAGTTTGACACCCCATTTTCTATAGCAACTGGGACTAGAACTGGAAAACTAAATGGGTGCGGCTCATATGCTGGCTGTTACACGTTTAATGGGCAGGCTGAATCTGGGTACTGCCCAGCAAAATATTGGATCTTCAAATAATCTCTAATAGCTTGGGGGATAAAGTACCTGGGTACTGCCCAGCTAAATACTGGGTTCTGCAACTGGGTTAACCGTGTTGTGGGACACGTTGATCAACAGGTTTGTGGGCTCGCGAGGTTGTTTTTTCCCCGCAGCTGATATAAATTAATTGCTTAATTGTTATAGTTGTTGTTGCTCTTATTGTTGTTGTTTTGCGCTGCTTTAGAGGCATGATTTGATATGAAATTTGCTTTTAATTAAAAAAACTCTCCAATATGCCAGCAGTTCGTGCGAAGGCGTTTCTCTCCCTCTATCTCACTCTCCACTTCACTCTCTGTCTCTGTCGCTCTCTGTCCCTCTCTTGCTCTCGCTTGGCGTAGATCAACCTTCGTTGCCTGTGCGTAGGGGTTTTCGTTTTCCTCTCAATTATTTGCCCAACCCCCCTCTCGCCACTTCACCCCTTCTGAGACCAAAGTCGTGCACTTCGTTAACGTTTGCCGAATCCGTTTTCGATCCGATGACAAAAAAAGCGAATAGGTATTCTGCGTGGGATTCTCGAATGCGTCAACGTTTTCACGGACTGTATTGACAACTCATATACCCTGTAATTGTTGATTAAACTAAAGAAAATTGCTGTATCAATAACAAAAAGGGTTCAAAGACTAAAATGGGCTGTCAGTCTAGTTGACTCGAACTTGAAGTACCATATTTTTGTCCACAACCGAATCATTTTGAACTATTAAAACAGGGTATCAATTAGTCAAATTTGATCAAACCCAGTGCGACATAGCACAAAGCCTGGTCAAATTGAGTTAACATATATTGTAAAACCTACATAAATAGGGTATTTGTTAGTCGAGCACATTTTCCAGCTGTGTTGTTTGCTTGTTTATAATATGGATTTTTGGCTAATGCCCAGCTAAACTGGTTTCCACTTGGTCAACAACGTTTGCCCATCAAGGAGTCGCTAGACCCAATTTGTTTATTGTTATTTTCGGAACGAAATCGAATGGTTACTAAATTTAAAGCGCATTTGATTTGAATTTAATTAAATTCCGTTGCCTGTTTAGAATGACGCACTTTTTCTTGGATCATTTGGAGATTTTGAATTAGCATACGTCTTGTCTTTTACCCAGCCATTCGATTATTCCCAGTAATAAACATTGGTTAATCTGTCATAGGGATTTTATTGTGAGACATTTTTCCCAACTTGCCAAACTCCACAAGCTAAATTTTCTCTGTTTCTTTTTGTTGTTTGTCCTTACATTGGAGCTTTTTAAATATGTAGGCACATACATATACATACATACATACACAGCAGAAAGATGTAGCATTTAACTTTCTATAAAGGCTTCGAGATTCCGTCTAACCTATAAAAGATATAAAGCTACGTCTAAATTATGCAGAATGTAAATTATTTATCTAGGCCCTACGGTAAAGGGAATGCCGTTCGCTATAGTCAAAGCAAACTGTGTAACCAACAAGAATACTAAAAAAAAAATCAAAATAAAACTGAGAGAGTTCCCTAAGCTGCAACGCATTAAAATGCTTGACCTGAATTCCAGGCCCAACGCGCCGCAGAGAAACTAGCCAAAGATGTGGCCAGGGAAATAATGTGAAGCCCAAAAAGTGAGACTAACTTGGCTTTCCTTAACGGAGTTGTTTGAGTGTGTGTGTGTGCGAGATTTTCCTGCTAAGTTTTCTAGTTTGTGGATCGGTCTGTTCCCAAAAGCTATTCCAATCGGAATGCAATGGGCCAGCTGCAGCGCATTCCCGTTTGCTGTTGTTGCTTTTGGCTGGCAGCCATTTTGCTTTTGCCTTTTTTTCTTCTCATAATGAGCGCGCCCTTTTTAATGCAGTGCTCGCCTAATGTCTAACGGTAAGCTCTCTCTCTCTCGCAGTCGTCTCGTAGTTTGTAGCTTGGTAATGGCTCGCCTGCTGTCTTCTCACACTGTATTGTGGCCCTGCCTGTGCTTGGCTTTGGCAGTTCTGGAAGCTTCTCTGCTGCTGAAAAAACGGACGCAATCTTTTGCTTTTGACGAAAACGAACATAAAGTGGAAAACTTGAGTGCGCTTAACTCTTCGCCCTCTTCACTTTGCTTCAAATGATTTGTCATCTTTGTTGCGCACATGGATACATTTCGTGTAAAATAATAAAGCTGCCATCTAACGGTTAAGTGCAGTGTGTCTTTTATTGCCAATGAGCTTTTGACTTCCTTGGCTTGGTAATTGCTCGAAGTTTCGATATTCATGGACAAGCAGACGAAGCAGCGTTAAGAACCAGCTCCAGCT